GCACTTGGATCTTTTGCCAACAACGCGCCCATAACAGCACTTGCTGTTCCTTCTGTAGTACTTTCTCTTGCCAGCGCAGCATCCATAGGTGGCTGGGTTGTAGCTATATCGCCCACACCTCCGATAACGGATGCACTTGGATCTTTTGCCGATAACGCGCCCATAACAGCACTTGCGGTTCCCTCTATAGTATCTTGTCTTGCCAGCGCAGCATCCATAGGTGGCTGGATTGTAGCTATATCGCCCACATTTAAGATAACGGATGCACGTGGATCTTTTGCGGATAACACGCCCATAACAGCACTTGCGGTTCCCTCTATAGTATCTTGTCTTGCCAGCACAGCATCCATAGCTGGCTGGATTGTAGCTATATCGCCCACATTTCAGATAACGGATGCACGTGGATCTTTTGCGGATAACACGCCCATAACAGCACTTGTGGTTCCCTCTATAGTATCTTGTCTTGCCAGCGCAGCATCCATAGGTGGCTGGGTTGTAGCTATATCGGCCACACCTACGATAACGGATGCACGTTGATCTATTGCCGATAACGCGCCCATAACAGCACTTGCGGTTCCCTCTATAGTATCTTGTCTTGCCAGCGCAGCATCCATAGGTGGCTGGATTGTAGCTATATCGGCCACACCTCCGATAACGGACGCACTTGGATCTTTTGCCGATAACGCGCCCATAACAGCACTTGCGGTTCCCTCTATAGTATCTTGTCTTGCCAGCACAGCATCCATAGGTAGCTGGGTTGTAGCTATATCGCCCACATTTCAGATAACGGATGCATTTGGATCTTTTGCCGACAACGCGCCCATAACAGCACTTGCGGTTCCCTCTATAGTATCTTGTCTTGCCAGCGCAGCATCCATAGGTGGCTGGATTGTAGCTATATCGGCCACACCTCCGATAACGGATGCACTTGGATCTTTTGCCGATAACGCGCCCATAACAGCACTTGCGGTTCCCTCTATAGTATCTTGTCTTGCCAGCACAGCATCCATAGGTAGCTGGGTTGTAGCTATATCGCCCACACCTCCGATAACGGATGCACGTGGATCTTTTGCCGATAACGCGCCCATAACAGCACTTGCGGTTCCCTCTATAGTATCTTGTCTTGCCAGCACAGCATCCATAGGTAGCTGGGTTGTAGCTATATCGCCCACACCTCCGATAACGGATGCACGTGGATCTTTTGCCGATAACGCGCCCATAACAGCACTTGCGGTTCCCTCTATAGTATCTTGTCTTGCCAGCGCAGCATCCATAGGTGGCTGGGTTGTAGCTATATCGGCCACACCTCCGATAACGCATGCACTTGGACCTTTTGCCGATAACGCGCCCATAACAGCACTTGCGGTTCCCTCTATAGTATCTTGTCTTGCCAGCGCAGCATCCATAGGTGGCTGGATTGTAGCTATATCGCCCACATTTAAGATAACGGATGCATTTGGATCTTTTGCGGATAACACGCCCATAACAGCACTTGCGGTTCCCTCTATAGTATCTTGTCTTGCCAGCGCAGCATCCATAGGTAGCTGGATTGTAGCTATATCGCCCACACCTCCGATAACGGATGCACTTGGATCTTTTGCCGATAACGCGCCCATAACAGCACTTGCGGTTCCCTCTATAGTATCTTGTCTTGCCAGCGCAGCATCCATAGGTGGCTGGGTTGTAGCTATATCGGCCACACCTCCGATAAGGCATGCACTTGGACCTTTTGCCGATAACGCGCCCATAACAGCACTTGCGGTTCCCTCTATAGTATCTTGTCTTGCCAGCGCAGCATCCATAGGTGGCTGGATTGTAGCTATATCGCCCACATTTCAGATAACGGATGCATTTGGATCTTTTGCGGATAACACGCCCATAACAGCACTTGCGGTTCCCTCTATAGTATCTCGTCTTGCCAGCACAGCATCCATAGGTAGCTGGATTGTAGCTATATCGCCCACACCTCCGATAACGGATGCACTTGGATCTTTTGCGGATCACGCGCCCATAACAGCACTTGCGGTTCCCTCTATAGTATCTTGTCTTGCCAGCACAGCATCCATAGGTAGCTGGGTTGTAGCTATATCGCCCACACCTCCGATAACGGATGCACGTGGATCTTTTGCCGATAACGCGCCCATAACAGCACTTGCGGTTCCCTCTATAGTATCTTGTCTTGCCAGCGCAGCATCCATAGGTGGCTGGATTGTAGCTATATCGCCCACATTTCAGATAACGGATGCACGTGGATCTTGTGCGGATAACACGCCCATAACAGCACTTGTGGTTCCCTCTATAGTATCTTGTCTTGCCAGCGCAGCATCCATAGGTGGCTGGGTTGTAGCTATATCGGCCACACCTACGATAACGGATGCACGTGGATCTATTGCCGATAACGCGCCCATAACAGCACTTGCGGTTCCCTCTATAGTATCTTGTCTTGCCAGCGCAGCATCCATAGGTGGCTGGATTGTAGCTATATCGCCCACATTTAAGATAACGGATGCACGTGGATCTTTTGCGGATAACACGCCCATAACAGCACTTGCGGTTCCCTCTATAGTATCTTGTCTTGCCAGCGCAGCATCCATAGGTAGCTGGATTGTAGCTATATCGGCCACACCTCCGATAACGGATGCACTTGGATCTTTTGCCGATAACGCGCCCATAACAGCACTTGCGGTTCCCTCTATAGTATCTTGTCTTGCCAGCGCAGCATCCATAGGTGGCTGGGTTGTAGCTATATCGGCCACACCTCCGATAAGGCATGCACTTGGACCTTTTGCCGATAACGCGCCCATAACAGCACTTGCGGTTCCCTCTATAGTATCTTGTCTTGCCAGCGCAGCATCCATAGGTGGCTGGATTGTAGCTATATCGCCCACATTTCAGATAACGGATGCATTTGGATCTTTTGCGGATAACACGCCCATAACAGCACTTGCGGTTCCCTCTATAGTATCTCGTCTTGCCAGCACAGCATCCATAGGTAGCTGGATTGTAGCTATATCGCCCACACCTCCGATAACGGATGCACTTGGATCTTTTGCGGATCACGCGCCCATAACAGCACTTGCGGTTCCCTCTATAGTATCTTGTCTTGCCAGCACAGCATCCATAGGTAGCTGGGTTGTAGCTATATCGCCCACACCTCCGATAACGGATGCACGTGGATCTTTTGCCGATAACGCGCCCATAACAGCACTTGCGGTTCCCTCTATAGTATCTTTTCTTGCCAGCGCAGCATCCATAGGTGGCTGGATTGTAGCTATATCGCCCACATTTCAGATAACGGATGCACGTGGATCTTGTGCGGATAACACGCCCATAACAGCACTTGTGGTTCCCTCTATAGTATCTTGTCTTGCCAGCGCAGCATCCATAGGTGGCTGGGTTGTAGCTATATCGGCCACACCTACGATAACGGATGCACGTGGATCTATTGCCGATAACGCGCCCATAACAGCACTTGCGGTTCCCTCTATAGTATCTTGTCTTGCCAGCGCAGCATCCATAGGTGGCTGGATTGTAGCTATATCGCCCACATTTAAGATAACGGATGCACGTGGATCTTTTGCGGATAACACGCCCATAACAGCACTTGCGGTTCCCTCTATAGTATCTTGTCTTGCCAGCACAGCATCCATAGCTGGCTGGATTGTAGCTATATCGCCCACATTTCAGATAACGGATGCATTTGGATCTTCTGCGGATAACACGCCCATAACAGCACTTGCGGTTCCCTCTATAGTATCTTGTCTTGCCAGCGCAGCATCCATAGGTAGCTGGATTGTAGCTATATCGCCCACACCTCCGATAACGGATGCACGTGGATCTTTTGCCGATAACGCGCCCATAACAGCACTTGCGGTTCCCCCTATAGTATCTTGTCTTGCCAGCGCAGCATCCATAGGTGGCTGGGTTATAGCTATATCGGCCACATTTCAGATAACGGATGCACTTGGACCTTTGGCCGATAACGCGCCCATAACAGCACTTGCGGTTCCCTCTATAGTATCTTGTCTTCCCAGCGCAGCATCCATAGGTAGCTGGATTGTAGCTATATCGCCCACATTTAAGATAACGGATGCACTTGGAACTTTTGCCAACAACACGCCCATAACAGCACTTGCGGTTACCTCTATAGTATCTTGTCTTGCCAGCACAGCATCCATAGGTGCCTGGATTGTAGCTATATCGCCCACATTTCAGATAACGGATGCACGTGGATCTTTTGCGGATAACACGCCCATAACAGCACTTGCGGTTCCCTCTATAGTACCTTGTCTTGCCAGCGCAGCATCCATAGGTAGCTGGATTGTAGCTATATCGCCCACACCTCCGATAACGGATGCACTTGGATCTTTTGCGGATAACGCGCCCATAACAGCACTTGCGGTTCCCTCTATAGTATCTTGTCTTGCCAGCGCAGCATCCATAGGTGGCTGGGTTGTAGCTATATCGGCCACACCTCCGATAAGGCATGCACTTGGACCTTTTGCCGATAACGCGCCCATAACAGCACTTGCGGTTCCCTCTATAGTATCTTGTCTTGCCAGCGCAGCATCCATAGGTGGCTGGATTGTAGCTATATCGCCCACATTTCAGATAACGGATGCATTTGGATCTTTTGCGGATAACACGCCCATAACAGCACTTGCGGTTCCCTCTATAGTATCTTGTCTTGCCAGCGCAGCATCCATAGGTAGCTGGATTGTAGCTATATCGCCCACATTTAAGATAACGGATGCACTTGGATCTTTTGCTCATAACGCGCCCATAACAGCACTTGCGGTTCCCTCTATAGTATCTTATCTTGCCAGCGCAGCATCCATAGGTAGCTGGATTGTAGCTATATCGCCCACACCTCCGATAACGGATGCACTTGGATCTTTTGCGGATAACGCGCCCATAACAGCACTTGCGGTTTCCTCTATAGTATTTGGTCTTGCCAGCGCAGCATCCATAGGTAGCTGGATTGTAGCTATATCGCCCACATTTAAGATAAGGGATGCACTTGGATCTTTTGCGGATAACACGCCCATAACAGCACTTGCGGTTTCCTCTATAGTATGTTGTCTTGCCAGCGCAGCATCCATAGGTGGCTGGATTGTAGCTATATCGCCCACATTTAAGATAACGGATGCACTTGGATCTTTTGCGGATAACACGCCCATAACAGCACTTGCGGTTCCCTCTATAGTATCTTGTCTTGCCAGCGCAGCATCCATAAGTGGCTGGATTGTAGCTATATCGCCCACATTTCAGATAACGGATGCATTTGGATCTTTTGCGGATAACACGCCCATAACAGCACTTGCGGTTCCCTCTATAGTATTTTGTCTTGCCAGCACAGCATCCATAAGTGGCTGGATTGTAGCTATATCGCCCACATTTAAGATAACGGATGCACGTGGATCTTTTGCGGATAACACGCCCATAACAGCACTTGCGGTTCCCTCTATAGTATCTTGTCTTGCCAGCGCAGCATCCATAGGTAGCTGGATTGTAGCTATATCGCCCACACCTCCGATAACGGATGCACGTGGATCTTTTGCCGATAACGCGCCCATAACAGCACTTGCGGTTCCCCCTATAGTATCTTGTCTTGCCAGCGCAGCATCCATAGGTGGCTGGGTTATAGCTATATCGGCCACATTTCAGATAACGGATGCACTTGGACCTTTGGCCGATAACGCGCCCATAACAGCACTTGCGGTTCCCTCTATAGTATCTTGTCTTCCCAGCGCAGCATCCATAGGTAGCTGGATTGTAGCTATATCGCCCACATTTAAGATAACGGATGCACTTGGAACTTTTGCCAACAACACGCCCATAACAGCACTTGCGGTTACCTCTATAGTATCTTGTCTTGCCAGCACAGCATCCATAGGTGCCTGGATTGTAGCTATATCGCCCACATTTCAGATAACGGATGCACGTGGATCTTTTGCGGATAACACGCCCATAACAGCACTTGCGGTTCCCTCTATAGTACCTTGTCTTGCCAGCGCAGCATCCATAGGTAGCTGGATTGTAGCTATATCGCCCACACCTCCGATAACGGATGCACTTGGATCTTTTGCGGATAACGCGCCCATAACAGCACTTGCGGTTCCCTCTATAGTATCTTGTCTTGCCAGCGCAGCATCCATAGGTAGCTGGATTGTAGCTATATCGCCCACACCTCCGATAACGGATGCACGTGGATCTTTTGCCGATAACGCGTCCATAACAGCACTTGCGGTTCCCTCTATAATATCTTGTCTTGCCAGCGCAGCATCCATAGGTGGCTGGATTGTAGCTATATCGCCCACATTTCAGATAACGGATGCACTTGGATCTTTTGCGGATAACACGCCCATAACAGCACTTGTGGTTCCTTCTATAGTATCTTGTTTTGCCAGCGCAGCATCCATAGATCAATGGGTTGTAGGTATTCCTGCCGCATTTTAGATTAGGGATGCATGTAGCTCTTTTGGTAATTATTCGGCCGTAACAGCACTTATGGGTTCCTTTGCAGTATCTGTGTTTGCCAGCGCAACATCCATAAGTCATTGGATTGTACCATGATGTGCCGCAGCTCACCAAGCGAACGCAGTAGGCGGTCTTAGGGATGATGCGACCATGACAGCACTTTTGACTCTTTCTCAAGTATATGCTTTTACCAAAACAGCATCCATAAGTTAATGGGTTGTAGCTATATCGCCCACATCTCAGTGATCGCACGCAGAAGGATTTTTTGGCGATGATTCGGCCATGACAGCACTTTTGGGTCTTTCTATAGAACGTTTTTTTGCCTGCACAACAACCATTGGTGAAAGGATAGTAGTTATATTTTCCACATTTTAGTGGTCGCACACAAGTTGAAGCTCTTGGAATGACGAGACCATGACAGCACTTTTGGCTCGTTTTGTAATATCTTCTACCAGAGCAGCAACCATGGGTGAGTGGGTTGTATCTATGCCAGCCACAAGTGAGTACACCAATACACCAAGACCGTTTGGGTATAACACGACCATAACAGCACTTCTTGATCCCTTTGGGGTAAACATATTTGCATGCACAGCACCCTTGGGTCAGCGGTCTGTAGCGTGAGGCACCACACATTAGATATCCTGTTTTAAAGGATGATGCGTCATCTTTGGCTTGCGTTGAATCTGTGATAATCCAAGAAGGTAATATAAACAAATATTTTGAATCAATGTAAGAAAGAGAGAAAGAAGTTGATTAAGGAAATCAAAAAGCAGTCATCATGATTAAAGTGAAAAGAGGTAAACATTATAGAACTGTGAAACGTAGGCACAAACGAAGATAAACAAAGATTAAGAGAAAACATTTTGCGAACCTTCGATGGAGTCTCTGAAGGGATTCTTTGGCGTACAACCAGAAACACGCGCGCATCAGCCGCATCAGCCACTTTATCGCCATTTGGAGCTGGAAAGTGTTCATCACCAGAAGACAGGTTTTCTTGAAAGGACTCAGCGTTCCAGGCTAGAGCGCAAGAGACTGCGAGAAGGACAACTATCACTTCCGCAAGGCTGCCGCTCCCCATTCTTGTGTCACGATCAGTGTGCGGCTGAGCGACTCTGTGTAAAATACAAAAAATGTTAAGACATTGACAATCCAAGAGAAACGAAAATAAAGTAAAACTGCCAATGGCTGCGAATGACAGAACAATGATATGCCTTTTTAAATGACAGGTGTCATTTTTCTTATATTGTGTATCTTTTATGGCATTTTTTCTGAGTATCAAAAGAAGAATGGACTTTTCATGCTCCCTTAATGTCGATATGTCAAGGAACCAGTGTCAATATTTAACTCCAAAATGTCCCATGTTAAAATTACGGTTCCGCTGTTCACTGATAAATACCGGTTCTTTCGTTCCGACCAGCAAAATTTGTCCCATTGCTTAGCTTGTTAAAAAAGGATTCCGAACAGAAACAACCCCCGGGAATATTTTGAGTCCGAGGGTTATGCATGAAATTAATGAGAACAATAAAATAAGCATTTGGCTGCAATTAGCAGTCAGGAAAATTCACGTTCTCGCACAGCAGACATCGCTAGCGCTATCGCTGTACAGGATGCATGAAACACAAAACTCTTATGTAATTTTCAGCATCCTGGATCATTTTTATCCAGTAACTGGTTGAAGAAGTTTGAAAATTAAACTTAAAGGTCAGTTTGTTAATATCGCGTTTTATATAGAAGGCTATAAGAGGTTCCTCTCTCCCATTTTCGCCTCGACCTTCTCTTTTTCCACCCCAAAACACCTGATACGCTAGCTAGGATAGACTGGACTTCTTCATAAACCCAACAACTCAACGAATTTAACCCAAACTGTAAGGCTGCTTATAAGTCTTATATAATGTGATGATTTTAGCGATTCTAATTTTGCATTTTTCAAATTATTGAATATTTAACGGATTCCTAAAACAGGCGACAGTGAAATTTCACGCAGACCCAAATAATCAGGGGCACTTAACGACGGTTTCCTCCTTAATACATCGAAAACACTTTTTAAGCTATCCAGAGTACTTTTAGATCCCTAGAGGTGCATTTTAAGAGCCACTATAAAATTTATATCTGTTTGGTCATCCTAGGGTAGCCTGAATTTCATCCGATTGCTTCGAGTCGTTTTCTCCTCTCGGGAGTAATAACGACTCGAAGGAATCGAATGAAATTCAGGCTAATCCTTGGGCAAAGTGAGTCTTTTCGAAATTACGAGGGATTCAGTATTATTTTCCCGAAATTTTTAGATGTAATTTAAGGTATTACGAAGGAGAGAATTTTTCTGCTTCCTCTTTTCATCACATTTTTGATTCCGAAATTTTCTTTTTTCTATGAAAAATAGCCTAACCTGGGGAGTGAAATGTGAAAAATTAAACTTCAGAAAATCTTAGGGAATTATTAGGTCAGCCTCGAAATTTGTAATGGAACGGTCATCTAGAAATTTTTAGCCGTCCTCAAGTAATTGAAAATTCTAGGCAATATTTGCTTCTCCGAACAGATATTTGGCAGAAAACAGTCGTTGAGCGCCCCTGAATAATCATACGACATTCCGAACCTCTAAGGACAAAGAAAATTTTGAATTATCGGTTCCAGTTTGGAGTAAAATTGATAAAGTGGCTGAGTAGGGAGAGTAACCTTCAATTTAAATTATCGGGTCAAACGAGAGTTCCGAAAAACCGCCATGGGGTTTGAGAAGTTTGAATAGGATTCTACCATATGATTGAACTGATTTCATCACGTAATAGGTTTGATTCAAGTTATTTTCTCAAGATATTTTATATATTAGTATCAGATAACAGTTACGGAATCAACAGCTTTGGTCTCTATCGCATGGTATTAATCACATAAATTTGAAATTTCAAATAACCAAGTTTAAGTAATTGTCAGTTTCACACATTTTAACTCATAGTTTTTGTCTAATTCAAAAAACAATTTAAAAAAATAGAGTACCGGAAAATTTGTTATTTCGGAAAGTCACAGGCGATGGGGATTTCAGGCACTTTTCTAAACTAGCAATCTATTGGTTTCGCTCAGTAAGAATTAAGTAACTTACTTTCTGAATGCTCTTATCGTAAAATTTCAACTCTTCACACTTCCGCAATCTGAATTCCTAAACATTTCAAAAAAGAAACTCTACCCTTTATCAAAGTTACACTCGACTAAGCATTCTTTACAGGTAATTCATCAATAGTGGTCATTGAGGTCTCTATCATTTCAGTAGAACATTCACATACCGATATTCTTTTGTCGACCACGGTTGCCCTGAATCTGATTCAATTCTCAGAGTCTTATCGAAGCCTTACTTCTGTGTATGAACCTCTTTACGGTAAAACGTAAAACATTCAAATTAGGAACTTCTCAACTGCATGAAAGTTCCTTAACAACCGGCGGAAATTTTTAAGGTAAATCTCTAAACACGAAAAAGTCATCCAGAAACGTGTTAATTGACTTGTTAATGACTGACTTGCATTTCGGTGCACTGCTCTGGGTTGCTCTTTTCGCGTTGTCTCGAGAGTATTAATATGTTTGTTTCTGATCTGCATTAACTTAAATTTTCTGGTCTTCCTTCACGCCAAGGAGTCACTTTTTTGTTAGCCGAACACAGTTTAAATGAAATAACTCCTCCGATGTGGGTATTTTCCCTTGCCATTACATCTAAATATGCAAATTTTAGCGTGGTTTCATGTCCGCTCTCCTAAGCAAACAATTCCGAAGTGAGTGCATTCATAAATTTATTTTAAATGAACAGAGAATGAGGGTTTAATTAAGCCTAATGAGGAATTATAATCGCGAAAATCTAAGTTACAACGTTAAAACTTCGAGACTTTGTCATCTTCGGATTACTTTACATTTCCTTTAAAGTTTTTTTATTATTATTATTTATTATAACACTGTATATTTTTGACATCTGTGGTGATTTTACTTAATCCGCGGTGAAACAAGAGTAAATAGTCGCGCGACAGTATTTACTTTTTTAATGTTTTGTGACATGTTTAAAATTGTACTGACCGCTCAGCTATTCACGACATTGACTATCGCCAGCCTTTAAGGTGTTTCTATACAGTTTCTCGGAGACCATACAGATGTTTTTCAATCGCCGTCAAAGTGATTTTACCCTTCTCTCATCGCCACAAAAGTTTCACCAGTTTGCCAAAATACAGTTTTTAAGTAAAATCCGGCGATATCACTATGACAACAATAAACAAAAAACTTCGAAATCGATTTAATCTGAGTTTCGCGCGATCTAGACCTGCTACTGAAAATCCGACACCAGGAACTTAAAGTGTGGTGTCTAGCAAATAACCGCCGTGAGAAGTAACAAATTCTGTATGTTTGAATTCAAATAAAACGTAAATATATTTCAAACCTTATAGTTTCAATAGCCGTGATAAATTGTGTAATAAAAGAGTTCTAAATAACTCAAATATATCTTAAGTAGCGTCAGAAGGCTGCTTAATATCATTATTCGAGGCATGGAAATTTTGGTGTATTTTCTTTCTTGCGATCCTGAAAACTAAGCTGTTTTCTCACCACCTGTCTAAGTGCAACTTTATTCTGAATTTTGACTTTTAGCGCTTTTCTTTATTTCTCTAAAACTGCTCGGCAGAATTCTTTTTTAACCTCATCACACAATCTCCATGATGTATATATTAATGTCTGAAACTTGATTGAGATTGATTGACTGCTACACCTTGAAATTTCAAGACCAACCTAGCCTACGAACCGACCAAGATCCGCGCTTCAATATTCTGTTTTAACGTTATGCTTAGCGTAATTTTCCAAATTAATGATCGCCATACATATCTCCACAGCTAGTACATTTTAGTATGACTTTTATTGCATATTTTGAATGTAAAACGTTGATAATGCGCACATCGAAATGAATATGTTGTGGCGGTCGGACAAGGATAAAATCACTTTTAAGACGATTGAAAAACATTGGTATGGTCTCTGAGAAACTGTATCGAAATACCTTAAATGGATGAATAAAGGATATTTTTGCTTTGAAATAAAATTAGTGTCAAATATTAAGAGGAAGTTATCTCTGTACCCGTGGTTTGCAATGCTTTCACGCCCAAGGTGACGAGAACGCGATGGGCCGAGATTCACCTCTCTCCCACGATTTTAAACATCAGTGAAAATTTGAAGATCTAAGCCTGTAAAATAATCTACCAGTTATTATAGTATTTTGCAAGAATTCTTGAAAGCTTCAACGTCTCACGTCCACTGGTTAGTTGTTCCATATCTTATTTGTTGTGACTAGGAATGTGTCGCCCCCGTTTTTTGCGCCCATGGCTTCTGCTTGGTCTTTCATACTTAGGACGAACAAATGTGAATGAACCACGACGCAAAGTCCTAGAAGAGAACATGCTCGCTTTCACTAAAGCAATATTGATTTCGTCAAAAAAGAAAACAAACCAAATAAGAACGCAGTCCACTCTTTCTATCTCTAGCAGGTAGGATACGTTACTACATTGTATTTTAAAATTATTCATTTCATAAGGCCATTGTATTGCGTGTATTTTATTTACTTATTTCAGTATTTAATTCTTGTTTTTAAACTCCTAGTATAGTTACACTGTTTTAAGAGTATACTTATTAAAGATTAAAGATTAAAGACAATCTACCAATTCAAAAGTTAGGGACTGCTTACATAAGCCGGGCTAGGCTTGTTTGTAGGGCTGGCTCGCTTTGCCAAAACAGCAGCTCGCTAAATGCAACACTAGAAAATCAGCTTTGTGTTTACTTGACAATTAACCAAGCTAGCCAGTTTAGCTGATGAGATTCCATTATTGCGGCACAGGAAGCCTTGCACCCTGAGGACGACTACGAGTACGAGAATTTCTCAATATTAAGTAGTCCGCACGCATGAAACAGCGTCATTTTGGTGGGAAAACGTGATAGCTGTCGCAATTCTACAACAGGTTTTAGCGAGAATGTCGTAGTGGAGGGAACAAGTTATCAAATGTTAGAAGTTTTATCATTTTGCTTTCGGGAAAGGGTACCCTGGGTGCCAGAGACTTTTCTAGCGCGTTTTCCGGTTTCTGTCAAGTCTTTTCTCGCGGCTTTGGCCTACGGCCGAAGATGTGTCGGCCTTCGGCCAACACCGAAAATTTCCTCTGCACGCGAGAAAAACCTCTGGTACCCAGGGTAGGGAAAGGGCTAAACCTTCTCCAATAAAGATAAACTCACTAATTTTTCAGGTGAAAAAAGTAAAATGAAGCTTTCCAGGTTATTTTTTTCGAGATTACGAGAAAAAATTTAAAGTTAATTCCCGTACTCGTACTCGTTCCTCGTCCTCAAATCTAAAGCTCTCTGTTATAAAAGCCCTTAGAGATACATTTCAGGGCTAAATATTTATAATATTAGAATTGTTAATATTAGACACAGTACCAATTCAGTTACAGACTCTGAGCCGAGTACCTTAATTAGTTTAATACAGAATTTATTCCCATTAATGAGCTCAATTAAATAATATTATTTACATGTGAAAAAGGAAGACCTGACTCTGGGAGTGTAAACAGGGTTCAAGGATAGCGCCTGGGATGATCGATCGGAGTAAAATGACAGGAAAGACGTGCGCCCCCCTCGAATAAGTCGTTGAACGCTCCCGCAACAACGCTATGTTGATGTTAAGTAACTCAGTGGAAAGGGCATAGGCTTCTTACAAGAAACTTTTGCAACGTTCTAAAGCTCTTTTTGATGCTATTTAAACAAAACAGAGAAAAAGACTAAACAGTACTATATGTATCTATCATTCGCGAATGAAAAGTTTTATATTAAAGCCGGATAATTTAATGAGGAACAAAGAAAAGGAAAGGAACCAGCAAAAGGATACGAAGTCCCCCGACCCCGCCCCCCCTGGAAGTTGGGGTAGGGGTTTCTGCATCCCACGATTTTTGGCCACAAAATTAGAAACAAGCACTAAGGACAAGACTGCACAAGGAAAATAAAACATCAAGTCTTATCCAGAATTTCTTCGTTCGGCTCGATACCAAACTTAAGAATATCATCATTAACAGATGCCCATGCCATTCGCTTTGTAGTAAAACCCTTCCCAACCTGTCCGTGCTTATCGATTGCAATCACTCCCCCCTGACCACCTACTCTCTCAAACATGTTTTGAAGAGCTTTCACACAGGCATGTCCAGGGGGATGCCCTCCTTCTATGTTGTAGACCACCTCCCTTGCCAGCATCACCTTCATGATTGATTCACCATGACCGGTGGATGACACTGCCCCTTCCTTGTTTGCATACCCTCCGCAGCCAACCAGAGGACTATCACCAACGCGGCCAGCCATCTTCAATGAAATACCACCTAAAAATGAAGTTAGGGTGAAATCAGTTTGACGAGAAAGGCAGCTTTGAAGAAATCTTACGACAGCCTGTTCGGCATGAATTCTTTCGTAAGTTAGAGCATCCTACAAGCCTGAGAAAACAGCTGACATTTTGCAACACCACCACTGGTGTCCCCACGAAATGACGTCTGAGGAGCAACTGCAGAAATTCCATACTGATGACATGCACCTACTCAGATCTGGGTAATGGTTCTGATTGGTTGAAACAAATGTCCCTTGTGGCATGACCAATGCAATCAGAAGCACTAGTCAGAGCTACATGTAGGTAGTGCATTTCGTCAGGGCTAAATTTGGCTAAAGTTCATGCACAGCTAGTTTAACTCTTTCCTTGAAGACGTTATGGCATTTACTCAGCCTTGAAATCTGTGGACGAAATTCTGTGGTGCACCCATTCAAATGAACTCTCTTTCACAGAACTTATGCATATATGACAAATTTTTTTTAGGATTTTACCAAACAAGATTTGAATTTTTAGTTAGTCACTATAAGGAGTAAAAATATATTTGTGGTATTCTAACCAGTAGATGTTGCACAAGCCAATCTCCCTGAAGAGTCCAAAGCAACAGCACCAACTGTGTCATGCCCAGGATTAAGGTCATTAAGGCTCGCATTAACATGTTTCACCTCTGTGTTAAAAGTTCTTATGACAGCATTGTTAAAATCCTTGTGACCCTCCAACTGTAGTCGTGATTCCTCACTTATAAGCTCAAGAGGGTCATTTAAAACTGGGAATCCTATTTTGTTCGCATAATTGACAGCACCATTTGCAACAAGAAAAGAATGGGGCGTGTCTTCCATTATGTGACGTGCTAAGGATACTGGATTAGCTATTCCTATTACTGACGCCACTGCACCTAGAAACAATACCAAAGATATGTCAGTATTTACTTCATTAATGTGCTACTTCCTCCATTTCCACACTGATGAAACATCCTGTTCACCTTATGCCAAGTGGTGCACAACTCTCATGAAGTCAAGTAATGTAAGTAGTTAATCCATTATGATTGGACCTAGCCAGCGACCAAGGACCTACCAGGAACAAATTTTCCCCTCAACATTACAGTAAGTGTTGGGGGGGGATATTGGAGTCTCAACGAAACACAGGTATCAATGCATTGCAAAAAGGAAGGAATGATTATGGGCTGTCACAAAAAATTATTAACTTTAACCCATTCGCCCCTGAACCGCCCGTAACCGCCCGTGCGGATACAGGTCCTTTCTACCCTTTGTGACGTCATCAGTTTTAACGGTCAAGGACAACTTTCTTCGCTAACTTGTGCAGGGTGAAGAGATCTTTCAAACCATACCAGAATGAGCACAATTCAGTCAAGGACACCGGAGAAAGAAGCAAAAAACCACGTGACAAGGACCTGAAAATCTCCATGAAAATCTTGTTCCATTACCCACCTACCTTTCCTTTCACCTAATCCTAAGATCCTAAAAGCTTTCCTAAAAACTCTTCCCACCAAAATGAAGCCTACTAAATGCCCAGCAAGAGAAAAAAAAAATGAGGCAAGAAAAGCGAAAAAAGAAGGGAGGAGAGAAAGCGAAAAGTAAAAGTCAAGACTGCTGATGTCGAAATTTTGCTTTCTGCGCATGCCCGAACTTCGTAAGCTGATATTTTGCATCTGGATCAGAAGGCCGCCAAGTGTATGACCTGTAAACCGGTTTGTGGTAAGTTTTAGCTCTTTATAGCACGACAGTGACCAGAAAACCACTCGACTAGCTTCAAAACGCGTTTTTCGGCAAAATCTCCAGGAGCGAATGGGTCAAATCAATTCCATTGAATAAGACTCCCACTTGAACATTAGCCTCCTTTATTGCCAATGTAGGTGGCTGGACTCAGTCACTCTTCAAAACATAGGCACACAGGAAGAAGAATGTAGAGTGCTAGCAGCCCCTTTAGAGGCAATCAAGAGGGCACACTGCCATGGTTAAAAATTTTAACCAATTCTAATGAGAGGCAGAGGCTACCTGCAAAGAAATCCTAAAAGAATGCTACTTTGGAATCCTTCTCTACACACACCTGCTTAACACAGACACCAATATATAATGGACAATTTCATTTAGCCCAAACGAAAAACTGATATCTTTTTCTGTAGGATGAACCTCCTTAATATGGACACTGGTTAATACGGACAACAGACACTTTTCTGTGACCCCAGTGACAAACTCTCATATATTGTCACCTCACTTTACAGACACTAGGGGTGTGTTCCTTTCGGCAAATCCAACAACAGATTTTTGATCCTAGATTTGCACTATTTTGTGACCGAAAGGAATGCGAAATCCGAACTTGGATCTTTAACCTTGGCAACCTTTTGCAAACGCATTCCATATGAAACCTCTCAAGAAATGACGTGTTCTCTACTGTGTGACCAATTATGCAATGAAGCCTTGTAGAATTAGCAACAATGGAGTGGAACATAACCAAAACGAGAAAGAAGTGCGATAAAGTTTAACATTATGGAAAGTTTGTAGGTTCAGTTTCGTTATGCAATCTTTAAAAAAGTGTTTGTACTCTTTTGAGCTTTTCAAATTCCAGGACTTTCTACGACTATTTCCATGCATGACCTTTCCAAGTTTTCCATAACCTTAGGTTTAGCTTTCACTTTCGAAGATTTTCAAAACTTTCCTTGTTTTAGCATATTTTGTTTACCTTAAACAGTTCAACAGACACAAACTCTGGTGTTCACCAAAATGCATGCCATTCGCACTGTTTAATTTCTCCTCTTGATCTTAAGTTGTCCTTGCTTTGCAGTAACTAATCTACTAAAGAGAACTTTCATTTTCCATGACTTTCAAGGACCGACAATTAAATTCCATGACTTTCCAGGCCTGGAAAATGAAATTCTTTAATTCCATGACGTTCCAGGTTATCCATGACCTGTACAAACCCTGTTAAAGAAAAATGGCCCTGCAAATGGCAGGTAAATGGATAATTTACTGTACCTGGAACTATCTTCCAGTGTTTTCAGATGTCCTATGGCAAATAGGAACAATGATGAAACTCAATGGTTATCTGACTTCAACTGGAAATATTGCAGGACCCCGGGTCACCTGACTAATTTTGAATCCAATGTGAATGGCACAATGTAGATCACTAATCCATTAATCTGGAGTTGGATTCTTTGGCTTTCAAATGTAACTGAGCCTTTTTGAAAAAGGATTCACCAGATCAAAAATTGGGATTTTGATTTGCCGAAAGGATCAAAAATCCATTTTAAGATCAAAAATCCATGTTTGGATTCACAAAAGGAACACACCCTTGGTATCTGTGCAGTGTCTATTTTCATTGTGTGCCAATTTTAAACATTGAATCCTGTTAAAATAATGAAATTTCTATAGGTTAATACAATTTAATTACCGAAAAAAAAAAATTACTTGATGTTTGATTTTTGAGGATTTTGATCAGTCCCTCTATCTTCCAGTGTTTGACCCTCTGCCCTCTGTTACACAGGTTTCATTTCTCTGGCTTTTTTCCTTTCAGTCATTGCTCCATGGTTTGTGACATTTTCTCTGACAGCCCACTTACATATAATACAAACACTATAATGGCACGTCCCCTTGGTGTCTGTGTTAACCGGGCTCTAGTGTAGCTGTCTTAAAAGCATGATAATGATGCTATGCACGAGCCAAAAAATACTCTTTCCTTGCACCTCCAATAGCTGCATTCTTTCCATAGAATCATGAAAATCTATAGCATCAGGTTGTTCAGTCAGTAAGGTGACTAACAAGGCAGAATTTTGGCAAGTCAGTCATTTTCAAGGCAGTAATTCAGTCAATTAGCAAACCTGATAATGACTTATTGCAGTTAAGATCTCTGTTTCCAGTTCAAATGTTGAGGACTGTGACATGCCCAATTTAGCCAGCAAACGAGTGCACTTGTACCTGATTCCAGTGAGTATCCATCCATGATCATTGCATCGACTTCAACTGTCAAATCTTCTGTAAGAACTGAGCCATGACCAGCATCAAAAGTTGGGTCATCTTCTAGGATGCGAACAGCTCCTTCGACTGCATCAACTGCAGTCCCACCCTTTAACAGCAAAAAATTATTGAAAAATAATCAAGTCTTTGATTTTACATTCCCTCGAGGATGGACCCAGCCAGTGAGCCATCAATATATACTTTATAAAGATACAATCAAACATATTTTGCATACATGGACACCAACAGAGACGCACCTAAATAATTTTCTGCATTAACAAGGTGTCCTTATAGAAATTCACATTCGTTGCTGCATTGACCTTCTTTCATGAAGCTGGTTAAAACATAGTCTCTCCAAAGGAGAGACTGTCGTTAAAATGACCCCCAGGTAATGCTCCCTTACTTGACAATATAAGTAATAACCCCCCAAATCCAATCAAGAGATTAAAAGAAGGCTATTTTTTTACCTGTTTTAAGCAATCGTAGCCTTTCTGGGCAGCTCTCTTGACTCCATTTACCGATGCTTCTTTTAAGATGTCTGGTATGGCCCAGGCGCCTCCATGAACAATGATACATGGTCGAGCCTCCATGATGTAATGCCGATATTGTATCTCAGCTCCACATGAACATATGCCGCTGATACCTTTGCCCTCTTATATCTCACATGTTAAAACACACCCTAAAAATACCCATTTGCCTTTCAAATTGTCCAATTTTGTAGGGGATCATTGCTTTTTAGCCAATCTTCCCAGACAAGACTAGTACTAGCCTGCGACCAAGCTTAAGACTAGTACCGTGTATGAGGCACGAAATCGCCCAGGCGTTACATGATTTCATCCCAGGCTTCCCGCGATCTATAGCCTCGTCCCAGCGTTTTTTCATAAATTCCTTTCCACCCCATAAAGAAAAGTAATCACCTGAAGTAATTTTAAAAATTTCTGTCCCCAACAATATTGCTAGAGCTTATATCAAGCTCGCAAACTAGTCGCTTTATAGGCAAACTCTGGGCTCGTGGAAAACTAGATGCTTTGTTTAAAGTATTCTGCGCAAAAAACGTCACTCGCTCGCAATCAGCAAGTCGAAAAACCCACAACCAGCTAGTTGTGTGGCCATCTTGGATGAGTGTCAAATCTACTTAGGGAGCGGGGGCTCGGCAGAGGATAGTTTGGGAGGAAGCCCTCCCCGCTACCGCTATAAACCCCGACGCCCGCCCCCTTGGTACATTTGAAATAGATACACACGAGGGATTTTGCTTATGGAGCAAAGCTCCTCGGTGTGTATCAACGATTTCATGGGTATAATTCATCCTCGAGAGCAGAATTTCCACCCCGCAAAATGCTCCACGATATTTAACCGGTTAAATATTTAGGAGCAAGTTCCCGGGGCAAATTGAGCGAACTTGAAAACGCTCCCTCGTGTGTACTGACACGTGCAAAATGAGCCTGGAGCATGCTCCGCGGGAAAAACCCCTCGTGTGTATCACAGGTGGCCCAAGCGTAATATGAGAGTTTGTGTGGGAAAAAAAGAGTTTGAAACTTAGAAGAATTAAATGAAGTAAAAGCGATAAAATTTATAATTATCAATAAAGTGTAAATATTGTTACCTGGAGTCGTTGTCTTTGTCATTTTTACGAAGTTTCAGCGCGATTTGAGTACTTTTACATCATCTGACCTGACAGTGTAATAATTATTAACGCTTTTACTTCATTTAATTCATCAAAGTTTGAAACTCTTTTTTCCCATACAAACTCTCATATTACGCTTGGGGCACCTGTGGTGTATCGTCCTTAATAGCTTCACGTTTACGTTAAACGGCGGACGCGAATTTGTATCACACGAGCAAATTACTCATTTGCTTGAGGCCCTGCCAGGGTAAATTCCGACAAGCGACATGACCCAAAAAGTAGCGACAGAGCCTAAAATGAAATCGCGACAAGCGACAACCTCCTTCGACCAAATTGCGACATTGACGGCAAAGCCGAGAATATGCGAAAAAGAACGGTGGTTTGGCTAATCTATCACCAGTCTACATGCCAAAAAGAAGTAATGTTCGTCAATTTTCCTTGCGCTTCAGAGATTCTCTCGTCAGAGAGTCTCAGTGGACTCTCCTGAGCGCGTCGCGTTGGCCCGTCGCGTAGTCTTCATTTACGTAACCCCGCACAACTCCAGGGAGACCTTGGAACTAGGTTGTCCGTCAAATAGCTTAATTTTACGCACACTTGACATCTCTTGTAATCACTACTTTCATACAGACCATAATGCACCTTGTTTTCCCCTTCAGAATTTTGCATAACCATTGTTTCCAAATTCTCCAGGGTATTTTTAATACAGTCGTTCCAAGAGAAATAAAAAACAATGGTGATGCCAAGTTTTGGGGGGTAAACAAGGTGCTTTATGGTCTGTGTGAAAATGGTGAATACTTTGCTTTTTCCTGAACTTCTCACATCCCTGTCCCTGTCGGACGGTGACGACAGTGGAGAGACCAGGGACCAGGCAACCTAACCACCGACCTTCCAACCGCTCTCACAGAGTAGACCACCGTTAACCGGCCTTCACATATGATTTATCACGTTCAACATCACTTAGGGTGTGTTGACAGTGTTCCTTTAAGCGAATTCAAAAACAGATTTCTGATCCGAGATTTGCCGGATTTCGCGGTCGAAAGGAACGAAATTTGATTCGTGATCTTGGTAACCTTTCGCAAACGCGTACAGTATGTATGACAGCCTGAGCCTCTCAAGAAATGCCATGTTTAATTATGCGATTATACCGTGCAGAATTTTGTGGTCGGCAGTTCGAATAACGACGATGGGGGCATAAACAGATCAAGAAAGGAGAGCGTTAAAGTTGAAAATTTACTTAAGGTTGTCGGCTCAGTTTGATCCAGTTTCGTAGCTCGGTTTTTTATGTAACACGATCGAGTGCCTATCGCGTCCACAAGTGAGTTTGTAGAAAGATAGCAGTTATTTGTCCCTTTACTTATTTGTGTTTTTAAGCAGTCTTTAGCGACAAATGGTCAGCACATGGATATTTTACTGTACCACTATGAACAATCTCCTAGTGTTTTCAGATGTTTTACGGGAAATGGCAGTAGTTAGGAAACTCTACGGGAATACTTCAACTGGGAATACAGCTGGGTCACCTGACTAATTTCGAATCCACTGTGAATGGAACAGCGTAGATCCCTAATCCGTTAATCTGGATTCGGATTCTTCGGATTTCAAATCCAATGTGAATCCTTTTTCAAAAAGGATTCACCAGATCAAAAATCCAAATTTAGATTTGCCGAAAGGAACGCGAAATCCATTTTAAGATCGAAAATCCGTTTTTGGATTCACCGAAAGGAACACACCCTTAATTGTGAATGGTGATGTATAGGTGTTCTATACGCGAAAGGTTAACTGAGAAAATGCACTACTGTAATGGTTTCTTTACAACGCATCGCTATCCCCCTTTTAATTGCTAAAATTCCGACAAAGACAAAAAATTTTCGTTCAATTTCCGACAGAGACGTGAAGCATTAATAAACACCGACACGAGACGTTTTAAAATTCAGACGAACGACATGGGAGCCCCCCTGGCAGGGCCTCTTACTTGTCGTTCACTGTTCATTATTTCTACCCAGTTTCACGCAATTTTTTATCCATAAGAATTGTTTTGAGCCAAAAGCTGCTCATTTTCTATTTTGAGAAATTCTCGACTTGAATCTGACAAGCTTTTAACTCTCTAATACCCTGGCCGCTCCTAACGCAAAGCGCTCGATCTCGACGGTCTTTCGGAAAAATAGGGGACTGTGAACAGTCTAAAACTTGAAGGCTTCAGGGAGTTGTATCACACCCAATGCGCATGCTCCGATGTTTGAAAAGTGTTAAGCTCAACAGGAAATCAAAACGAGTGTGATTTTGTTCCTTTCGAAAGGAAATCTGCTTCCATCGTCGTTATTTGGCACTCACCTTTAAAAGTTCATAGCTGTTGGTGGTGTGGGATATATTTTTGTAGAATAACAACGCACGTAAAAAAATTTTAAGCAAGGTTTTCTTGTCTTTCTATTTTCTAGGAACATGCGACTCGAGCTTACAAAATACGTTTGAGCCTTTACTCCGAGATACAGTCGTAATGATAACACAAAATCTTACTCTAAGCAGTACATAGGAAGGTAAAATACAAAAACGAAACCAAATTTTGATCTTGGATTAGCGCTAATCAGCCTTTCTGGAACCGGGACCATATCTGTAAGAGTGAAACATAAATTTAGAGCTAGCTGCAATTAGCTGTGCGTCTGTATGCATTCAGAATTAAGACAGGGACAGACGTACTTGAGAACACTTTATTATCACTTAACACCGCGAGTTTTTTTTATGTAATATATTTTATAAACTTGCACATAACATAAAAATTACTATATTTTCGAAATGTTTTGTATATAATAAAATAAATAATTTAATTGTATATTAACCCTCTCCCTTTACAACAATTTTTTTCTTTTTTTTTTTTTGTGTAGCTTTCTGCTTGATTCTTTTAAAACCTAGCACCCGAAATTATCAGCATGCTTACTGCTGGTTTGTAGCCAATGACACGGCGCTCCGGTTGGTTGACCACAACAAAACTGAAAAGCCTCTCTCTTCCTTGGCAAATTAACGCTTATGTCAAAAAATACACTGTAAAAAGCGTTTTCACTTGAGGGAGCTTAAGCAACAACGACAGCGACGACTACGAAAACGTCACTTAGGGCCTGTTTACATGGAGGTGGGGGACCCCAGGTAGGTGAGGTAATCCTCCTGTCCATATAATCTCTCATTTTAATTTGATCACGTTTACATGAAAGGTGGGATGACCCGCCGCATTTTACCTCACCTATATAGGGTCCCCCACCTCCATGTAAACAGGCCCTGAAAATGGGATTTCGCGCTGCTTCAAACTTTATCGCGCTTATTCCATCTCGTTCAATTCGTCAAATGCTGGCAATTTTTTCTGGAGTTGAATTCTAAGAAAGAAAAAGAAAGTCGTTGTGTTCACGTCCTCCATTAAAGGTGAAATTAGTCATTTTCACGTCGTAGTCGTGCAGTGACGGCAAAGAAATGTAGAAAAAAGAGTGATGTACGGGGTCGTGCAAAGTTGTTGTTTTGCCAATCTAAACCTTCTGCCTTTTTGCCTTTCTCGTTGACGTAGCCGTCGTCCTTGCTTAAGCTCCCTACTGGTGTTCCAAAACGACGAAACCGTGACCATGTTAACTAAGGTCATGTAAAGAAAATCCTCTGGAAGTTTAAGGCTATGTCCACACTATACCGAGTAACTTTTGGGCCGCCTCGAAAACCATACCGGTTAGGACTTCTGTTCACACACAAGAATGGTTGAGGCGGCGCGATTTCTGTGACGGCGCAGCCGATCTCTAAAGAGTCACATATCGGATAGGTGTTCACATAGACTACGAGCAGTCTCTCTTTTTTCTGTAGTCCGTCGAGCAAAACGCGAGACACGCAAATGGCCACGCGCGTGACTGATGGCGCGAGACGGGAGATGGCCCTCGTTTCGCGCGTCTTGCGGCTTCGCCGCTCCCGCGCGCGTGCACTGCTCTCACTAAATCTGAAGAAAAAGAGAGACCACTCGCAGTCTAGTGTTCACCAGGGCGGATAAAGGTTTATCCGCCCTGGTGTTCAAACTACACTGGATAGCTTTTTGCGGCGCAACGAAAAAATATCCGGTATGGTGTGTACATGCCCTAACTCTTTTCATGAGTTCCAAAAAACAGGGGCACCCAACGAGGATATAGTTCAAAACCACTTAACATAGCATTGTTGAACGTATTTCAGTATTCAAACGGTAGATATAGGCATATTTTTATCCCCTAAAAACTTTTCATCTGTTCGGATTTCCTAGCTGAAAGTCTAGTGATCCGAAAATTATTGGGATAAAAAGTTACCTTCTCGAAAATTTCAGCCAGGAAAAAGGCTCCCGAAAATTCTAGGTGGCCTTTTTTTGGGTCAAAATACGTTAAAAATGGGTAATTATACCATTTTGTATTTGTTCGAAAATCCTAGGAGAGGCAGGCAAGCAAGAAATTTTACAACAAATGCTCCGAAAATTCTAGATCTCAAATCGTCTTCCGAACAGATATTTTCCCGAAAATTGCCGTTGGGTGCCCCTGAAAAAATTAGCATAGATGATGGCCCTGTAAGTGAAAACGCTCTGTTGTTTTGTCAATAAACACTGCTGCCATGTCACGTTGTTACAAACCAAGAAAGGTGATTGAAAATCAGGACAAAATGATAGCAAAGAAGACTGATCAAGGAGAATGGAACTGAACATCAAAGCTGAGTACCGACTCCTCCTCAATTGATACTTACATTTGGGACTCGAAAAAGTCAACTTTACATCCAAAGATACAATAAACAGACTAAATCTAGAATATGCATTAGTTAGTTTTTGATTTCTCCCAAATGCTCTCCGACATTTAGCGGAATAAAATAATAGGGAATAATAGGGATTAGCTTTAGCAACCACGACGACAATGTAAAACAACAAATAGTTTTATGAGCCAAACAACAGCTCTGCACGTTTTCAATACTTTTCTTTGACGTCCTCTGCACGACTATGACGTGAAACTTCCTAATGCGACGTTTTAAGGAGGGCGTGGACATAAAACGACAAATCTCAGTTCCTTTATCTTTTTGAACATGGATCAAGTACTTAAGAATTCAACTCAAGCAAAAGTCAAAAACATTTGACAAATTACCATAAGCGGGTCCAAATAAACGCGATTAAAAGTTTGAAAGGACACAAATTACTTTTTTAGTGACGTTTTCGTGGCCGTCGTTGTTGCTAAGCTCCCTAAAAACACCAGCAAAGCGATTACAAAAGAAATTCTAAAGTTATTTTTAGGACTTCAAAGGAGAGACCTTTAAATAATTCAATTCAGGAGGAGTTGTTTTGCTTAGAATTTCTAAATAAAACCTTGACAAATTTGCAAAATTTTGTCCTCGGATTACCAACCATGCATGAAAGAGTGTGACTATAGTCAGTCTATCCAACCAGTCAGAGTAGAGTAGATGAGCTTAGTTGGATTCAAGGATGGAGTATAAAAGTGAATACAAAGGTATTGTTGATAAATCTTAGAAAAATAAGTAAAGATTCTTGTCTTAAAAATTAGATAAAAGGAATCATATTCGATGCACAAATACATGTAATAATATCATAGAGGAACCTCCTGAACTTCACCACGATCCAAACCAAATTTAAGGACCTGACCTCTGATTGAAGCCCAAGCCAACTGCTTTGAGGAAAAAGCTCTTCCAATTTCTCCATCACTGTTAAGAGCTATTACACCACCAACACCATCAATAGCGGAAACCATTTTATTTATAGATTTTCCACAAGCCTGCATGGGGTTCAGGCCATCTTCTATATTTCTGACTACATCCCAAGCAAGCACCATTTTCAAGATTGATTCCCCATGTCCTGTGGTTGACGCAGCAGCTGATGCATTGGCATACCCACCACAGCCACAACAGGGGGTGTCGCCAACCCTTCCTAGCATCTTCCTGGGTAATCCGCCTAAAACATAATTCATAAATAATTAATTAGGAGGAGGAGGAGGGGGTAACAAGAAGTCATGATCATTGCACCAAACTTGCAATGCAAGTAGTCAAGGAAAGATCTAAAAAATCCGGAAATAGGGGGCTGAGAGACTGGCCATCTCTTTTGATGACTCTAAAAGAATACAAATTTTCCTCAAAAAATCTTTAAAGTTTTAACAATTTCAGAGCAAAAGGTGGACTGCTACCCTTTACATCTGCCCATAAGACTCCAGTTTAACTACCCATGCTGACTTCTAGCTGAATTTGATTCTCGGTACATAACTGTATTTCTTGTTCAACTCTATGACTGCGCTTTATAGCTTTCTTCAGATATAGGTTGGCCTTTGACCTTCAGATGTATATGAACTGCCAAGTGTAAACTACAGTCGACTCCCGATAACTCGACCTTCAAGGGAAACCGAAAAAGGTTCGAGTTATCGGGAGCTCGAAGAAAATAGCCGGGAGTAAGGAAAAAAACAGTTTTTACTGCACAGTGAGTATTCTAAGCACATCTAATTGTAAAAATGTTGAGTGAAAATTGAAAGATACTGTTAGATTATAAATCAGAACGTTAAGTAACAAAACGTTGCCTAAATAGAGCATGCATTTTACTTTTTGAGAAGTAAGCTATTTCACGTTAGATTTGTGGCAAACAACATCCGCCTCCACTATCGATCCACTAGTAAACTATATGCCTACAACACGTCAATGGGAAATTCAAAATTCAATGTTTCGAGGCAGTACACTCTTCTTTCCCGACTTTTTAAGGGCTCAAAACATGGTTCCAGTTATCGAGGGTAAAATTATATAGAAATGATCTGAGGGGAAACAAAAATTACTTCGAGTTAGCGGGAGTTTCGAGATATCGAGGGTTCGAGTTACCGAGGGTAAAATTACAGTAAATGTATGACGGAAATCCGGGGGAAATCGATTTTGGTTCGAGTTAGCGCGAGGTTCGAGTTAGCGAGGGTTCGAGTTATCGGGAGTCAACTGTACTTCTCGGAGTGATTAACACAAATGGCCTGCTACATTGTCAAAAGACTTTCAGCCCAAGAAAGATGCACAATGTACAAAAAAATGCTGACTGATAGTTGAGAAATATTTTCTGAAGAGTAGTAACAGTTCCAGTCTTTGAGGTAAGGGCCGGTGTTGGATCTCTCAACAAAACAAAATATCTTGGTGCCTACACACATGCCCTTCAAGATTTAGCAGATCCATCAGAAGACTGAAGAGAGTCACTAAATATGACTCAGCAACAATACCAGCCTCTTTTAGGAGGAGAGAGGAGTCTATGTTACATAGTGTAGATGTCGAGGAATTTGCAAGAGAGTTGACCGCAGGATTTTCACCTGTAGAAGTAGCACTTGCAAGTCTTCCTTTTGAATCCACAGCTACAGCTCCGACCGTGTCAAATCCCTGACCAGTGATGGTTCCATTCACATCTGGAGCATCAGCATTAACCCACTTTCCAGCTTTTCCTAAGTAGTAGCTTGCTTCTTTAGAACGCTCATGGGATTCAGCTGTGGCAAGTTCCAGAGGGTTTTCAAGAACGGGAAATCCACTTTTTTTGGCAAACTTCAGAGCACCTTCACCAGCCAAAATACAGTGCGGAGTGTCTTCCATGACCTTTCGTGCTAGAGACACTGGATTTGCAATGGCCTCCACACAAGCAACTGCACCTTAAAGAATAGAAAGACACAGGTTGCGGCAGAGTATAACATGTTCAGTGCTGCTTGATACCATTACCTACTATACACATGCTGCAAGGCTAGTATGTCTTATTAGAAGCTGCCCAATGGGAAAGAAAATTAATGATGTTACCACTGTTTTGAAAGAGAAAGCAATCATAAATTTACAAACAATTTTAATAATAAATTAATAAATTTTAATAAATTTGGGGTTCACTCCTCAGAACTCCTGGCAACATCTTTCTTTTGTAGACTACAAGTAGTCCCCCATTTTTCCTGAGGGATAGTAGAGCGAGCGAAACGGGAGCGGGCGTGAAAATCACCCCACGCGAGAAAAGGCGTGCGCTCGCGTTTCGCTCGCTCTACTATGCCTGAGGAAAAATGGGGGACTACTCGTAGTCTATTTCTTTTGGGAAAGTTCTAATTTTCCTAAATGTATTCCAGACATTGCCTTGCCCTGGGAATAGCAGAGTCTTATGGTTTACATACTATATTTTGAAAGTAGTCTGACTTTTGCTCTCATCAGACTGATATTCTGCCAAATGGAGATTTAATTAAATGCCAAACTGCAAGCAAGCAATACAGACAAAGCACAAAATGATGCATGCATGTGAGACAAAGCAATTTAAAAGCAAAGAGCCTGCATCTCCTCCCTGGCCATCTCTGGAAATGGGAACCAACTCTGCTAAGAGCCACAATCAAGAACTGTTAGACTTGATGGCAGCTCTAACATCCCTCCTTTTGGGACACTCTAGACATCACATACCTTGCTACTGTGTGGGGATAGGAAAGTGCTCTGACTCATGGTTTAGGATTGTAAGAAGATTGAGGTTTGCTCTTCAACTGATAATATCCTATTAAATGGGATTTACATTTGCAAGCTATACATGTAAATGCTAAATTGCAGATAACAGACAAGCAAGCAATACAAACAAGGTGCAGGAAGATGCAAGTGGTACAAAGCAACAAAAAGCAAAGAATCTTCCCTACAGGCAATCTCTGGAAGTGGGAACTACCCCTGCAAGCAGCAACAAACAGATACTGTCAAACTTAATAACTAGAAGGTAAATGGAAAGATTCACTTGACTGCCAATACTTTCCAATCTAGGGAGGGAGGAAAGGGTTCAAGAATCCGCAATAAATTAATTGCACAAAGCAAGAAGTAAAGATCTACACACTGTCAGATCAGTTTAATATCAAGGTAATGAGTACAGTCAAACCCGCTTTATGCACACCCACTTAATATGGACCCTCTTTATTATGGACAATTTGCTTTGTTCCTGGTAAAAGACAGCCCTTAATTTTTTCCTAAATTCAACCTGCTTAATATGGCCCTCTTAATGTCCGTATCGTCTAGGTTTGACTGTAGTCCAATACATGTAGGATCACGTATCTTTTGAGGGACTGTCAATCAATGTATCGGCTGACATCTCGGTCGACTGTTCATCGATATTTCGGCCGGTGTGTCCGCTGATACTCGCTCGGCTCTCGACCAAGATGTCGGTCAAAAGTTGGTTGAGTATTGGCCAAGTATCAACCAATATCTCAGTCGAGTGGTTTTTTCCTGTCGATCACGTAATGACCAACAGTCGGTCGAGATAGCATTGGTAGTGTGTCAGCAATGTATTGGCGAATCATTGATCAAGTATTGGTGAGGTATCGGAAATCGGTGGTAAAATGTACATTATTTAACAATAGCCACATGTTATCTTACCAGTAGCTAAATTGTGTCCATCCATAATGAAACCATCAAGCTCAGCAGTGTTCTCCTCTGTAAGAGCAGAGCCATGTCCAGCATTAAAAATTGGGCTATCCTCCATGTACCTCACAGCTGCCTCTACTGCATTGAGGGCACTACCACTCTGCAGAAAAAATATTTCAAATATAATCAACTTATAACTGCAGCAGAATTAGCTCAGTTGGACTAAAGTCCTTCACTGCAGAGCGGAGAGGTTGTGGGCTCGCTTCCAGGGGCTGGACCAACACTCAGGACCAATATTCAGGGTTCTAACTGAGAAATGAAGGTAGTGCCTTTGTCCTGCAAATGGCTAGAGCTTCCTGTGGCTTGGTTGATGCCATAAAATTAGTGTCCTCAAAAGTATAGCATATAGCATATGCTAAATAGATATGACACTCAAATTAAATAAAGTGCATTTTGTCATACTGTTTCTTTTTTCCCCAAGGACACTAGCAACTGAACGGACAAAACTCTCTCATGGAACATAGCTGGGGGTGATGAGAAACTCCAGTTTTTAATTTCGTGGTTTATGTATGATAAAATATGAGTGAGGTTTCACTGTGTAGCTTAAACTTTTATTGAGTCCTTCAATCTGAAATAATACATGGCTGGCTGCTCATTTCTGCACTCATTTTTACTTCCACTTCTGTGTTTACAACTTGAATGAAGTGAAATGGAAACACTAACTACATACATGTACAAAAAACAGAATATCAGTATTGCTTTTTTTTCGTCATGCAGACATGGGGACCTTTGTGCTAACAACCATTTCATTTACGAAATTCTGCATGTATATTCAACACAAACTTCAGCATGTACACATCACATGCATACAGACTACAGTGTTTAACATTGGATAGCCAGCACCTCTCACAGTTTAACCAGTGATCAACAGTGGAATAAATACATAACCCTGCAGAACCAATATACCGAACACTTTAATATTGGACTGATTTTAGGCCAATTTTGATCTCACTGTGACGTGTCTTCCATAATTTAGATAGACAAATCAGCAAGATAAGTTATTTTGGCATGACTAGGTGGTGCTAAAAAAACTTAATATCTTGCAAAGCAGCTTTGATAAAAATCCCTCAGAAATGTACATTATTTTAATTTTTTATATCGCATTCTTTTATAACATTTTTCAAGGGCTATAGCTATCTGTAATAACACCAAAGACAATTTCTCACGGGAACCGGAGAAAAAATGTCAAATTTCATAAGAATTGTGAAAAGACAGGTAAAATTCTGGGTACTTCAAATTTCATTAATATTATGTCTTAGGTTTTAGATTTAAATTTTAAAATTCAAAGATTTCTTTTTTTTTTCTTTCTTTTCTTTTTTCAGGATTGATGTTTTACAAAAATCATTTGACAAAAGGTCTCTTACAATCAATGTATTGTCTTGCCCACCAGCTCAGCCATCAAAAACCATGATAGGGTCTATTGGAAATTCTAGAAAAATGAAAATATTTTCCTTCATGACCAGGCTGCTTCATAACAAAACATTTTATGGTGTGTGGTTTTTCCATATTGCTTGTCATAGTGCCAGGAACCGCAATATTACGTAAGAATGTCGCACTTCCTTTTTCAAACTTTGTTTTTCAAAATTTTCTTGGCGTAATAAAAATGGCTAACCTGAATCATTAACTGCAATGAATACTGTTTTCTTTTTCACGGTCTTGTGTTAAAGGACTTACATGTATTCTTCACTAATCGCCACTAGCGATCCTATGTACTGACGACTACCTGTACATTTGTACATTTCTCAGCGATCGTCTGCGATTGTACGATAATTGAAGAGGAGTTTTCGTAAATTAAATCAGCGCTTCGATAGCTGAACTTACATTTCAGCGATCTTGGCTTAACGAAACGTAAAGTATAAGCATTTGGTAGTGATTCCCACCTCCCCAAATCCTTAGACTACCTGCATTGTTGACGAAAAAGGACCATTTGTGGCCTATCATTACCAATCACGCCGGCTCAGTGACACGACTATCTCAACTAAGTCAAGGCCAGGGAAGTCAAGGTCAAGGATCCACCCGGGATTCAAGCGGGCTCGATATGTGCTTATCAACTGCTCTAGTTTAGTCTTTAATTTTTAATACAAAAAAAGCTAATACATTAAAGCCTACCTTCAAAAGAACTTCATGGCCTTTTCTAGCCGCCAGCTGAACACCTTTTCTGTGTTTTTCCTTTTTTTCGTCGCCCAGTATCGTTCTTGAACCACCATGCACAATTATACAGGGTTCCATCTTCAAGCAAAATAGAGTACTTATCTCGATCTTATATAGCCCTGTCCTACAATATAGCCTCGTGGATGTCTTGTGAGTCGTCTCGTTGTTGTCTTGTGATTCTTTTTGCCGGTGGCAAAAAAAAGCCAGCAGTGACGATGTACAGCAGTTACAAGTAAATGTATTTTGCGTCATGTAATACTACGCGTAGTGTCCTACTGAACATGTATTCTGCGTCATGTAACACTAAGTGTAGTGTCCTACTCAACGGAAAACATAGTTTGAAGACAAAATATAAAAATGGCGCCCATAACGTACGGTTGAGTTTGCACCTTTACTTCTCTTATTGCAGTTTTTGATAGGGGAAAATAACTATACTGTGTTCTTATCTTTAAACGGAATTAAGTTGCCGTCACCACGTGTAGACTAAAAACGGTTGTTGGTCTTTTTCTTTTCATTTTTGATGAATTTTGATGGGAGCGTCAACCAATGATTCTTGATGGTAGCTAGCCAATACGTCTTGTATTGATATTGGTACATCTTCTGGCGTCAAAATGTGCAAGACTTTGAAAACTTAAAGGCGAGGCAAAAGAAGAGCCACTGTTATTCCATCTGAGAATCAGCTGAGTTTCCGCATGGCGACAGGTAAGTAGTAGTTTTTGGTAACTTGAACTCTAGGGAAACGAAAAACAGTTCGAGTTAGCGGGGAATTCGAGTTATCGGGGTAAATTTCAGTGAAATTTTGATCAAGGGAAAAGAAATTTAGTTCGAGTTTATAGCGGGGAATTCGAGTTATCCGAGTTCGAGTTATCGAGGTTCTACGTATTTTTTGAACTGTTGATCCGGAACTAAGCTTATCTTTTAAGCTAAATTAGTGTTCTCTTTCAACAACGTTATTCTAACATACACGTGCATCTAATCTGTTAAACGTATCGGCTGCCATAAAAGTTGAACTCAAGTCGACGTATGGATGTCTCATAAGAAGGAGCCTTACATGAGCATGATTGTATACCTGCCAACTCTCACGCCTTAGGCGTGAGTCTCACGCCTGCGGGTTGAAAACTTCGATCTCACGCCGGCTCACGCCTGCGGGCCAATTTCTCACGCCTGATTGAAAAACGTGAATTGTTGCCGTCCGGCTTGACACAATTTCCAAAAATATGTTAACTCAGACCCATTTAAGGAACGAAAACCATGTGTAAAATGAATAAATGGCAATACCTTCCTCACGATCTCTGATTTTTGAAGTGAAAAGCACTGGGAGCGAGCTCGCCTTTGGCAGACTTCGGCAGTCTTCGGACGTCTTCGGAAGACTTCGGACGTCTTCGGAAGACTTCGGACTTCTTCGGGAATCTTCGGAAATGATCGTGTCGTCTTCAAAAATCCCAGCACTCCCAGGATAAAAATCTCACGCTTATATCTCAGAAAAAGTTGGCAGGTATATGATTGTCCAGGTGAATGTAGGTGAATAGGTCGAATAGGACTGTTGTTGATCATGATAGTGACTGACGTTTTGACAACCTGTGCGGTAAGTCTTCTTCAGAGTGAAAGTGAGTCAGTTGATGATTTTTAACTCTGGTTATTGACCTGATTGGTCAATTAAGTCGCCATGTGGTTGGTCATCTATGAGTTTAAAGTCATGATGTTATTGGCTACGAAGACTCTAAAATCATTGGTACATTTCAATCAATCCATTGTCAGAGTTTAAAAGTTGTTTATTGCTTGTCAAATTGTCAATTGTGCAGTCATTCTCTCATAGTTAGTTTTGCTTGAGTCAGTCAACAAGCTTTACGGATGTCTGTAATCAATGCCCTACTCTCATTCAGTGTCTGATTGGATTGCATGATTCAGTGAATACCATATCATTCTCATTAGTAACTCCACGTTTTCTTTTTTTTCATACTAGACGATGCACCAGGGTCTGGTAAGAAAAAGAAACACAGGAGGGCAAAATCTAACTTAGAGTCTCAGGTTTGTTGTTAGAGAATCAATTATGCCACAAGAAAAGTTGGTCATACATGTAGAGTGTTGTTGTGAGATCAATCACAAATTATTATTTTTGAGAAGTGTTATGTATGAGATAGCCATATGGTAGACTAATTTCTAGTTGTTACCATACTTTTCTATGGCCACTAAAGTCGACAACAAACAGAAATATGCCTTTGTCACAGGCTTTCTATAAACATCCCTCGATCATTGCAAAAATGAATGATCGTAAGGCTGGCACTAATCAAGGCCCTAATTCTCCAGGCATGATTACAACTTGGACTAGCAAAATGTGCAAGCTAGTCGTTAGAGGCACAGTCTGTTGAGTTGGAGGTCACAGGTTTGATCTCATGGGCTGTACTAGTACTCGGGCCCCAGACTTAATTTTAATTTTGCTGCAATCACTGTAATAACGATACAGACACAAGGGGAAGGACTAGAAGGGAACCGAAGAACTATACGGGCTTGTCCAGCCAATTTGAAATTAGATCACATTAACACATATAAGTAACACATATAAATAGTTAAATGCTATGATTTCATGCTCAAGTTTTGACTTGAAATAATTAAGGAAGAAGGTACTGCTTTTGCCCCATAAACGGACTTCAATGAGCAAATAGAAATTGCAGTCTTATCTACAGCAAGGAGTGTGTCAAAGTGCGCTTTATTAGTATTTTGTGCTAAATACGTTTTATTTTGACACTATAGAAAAAGCAGTGTTTTATGTTGATTCCTTTAATTTTTGATACCCCATTGTATGGGATAAAACCTGTTAACTTGCTTATATTTTTGTGAGCCAAATAAAAGACTTAAGCATTGTAGCCACAGTGAAATAATAATTATTATTGTATTCACCAGATAGGGATCTTTCCGAATTATCTGTTAGTAATTTTATTGTAATCAAAATTGTTCATTTTAGGTCGAAGTATCAGGATCAACTGATCAGTGTAAGTCATAACTCATAGTTGTTTGGAATGAGTTATTAATGTGGTCTTTGCGGTGCAATTTAAATCCCCTTGTAAAGATGTAGATATGACAAATTTATAGCTTAAACCTGATAACTGTATCTGCAAGAAAGTTTACATTTAACTTTGGTTTATAAATGTATTAGTGATAAACGTTTTACTTTTTTCTAGTGTTATCAGCAGAGAGCTCTAGAGTGTTAAAGGCACGTCAACAGACTCAAGCCAGGTTTGAGTCATTTCTTCAGGATGCTGTTGCTGATAACAGGTGCAACTGAATACCTTCTATAATAATCATATATTCTTAATCCAATAACAATAACAATATTATTAGAATGAAAATGTGCAGATGTACAAAATACGGTGATAATTTGAGTCTCAATTTCAGTAGAAATGCTCTATGGTAATACACACCATGTATAGATACATGTAGGTGCTATTACTACATTGAATGGGTAGAATTTTTAATCCTTTGGCTGCAACACTTACACATTTAGCAAAAAAGGTCAAATTTGGAAATTATTATATATCACTTAAAAAGACGCAATTTGTATTTGTACTTATACAGGGCTCGAAATTGCGACCCATACGGTCGCATTTGCGACTTAATTTTTCTTATTTGCGACTAGAAAAACGAGAGTAGTCACAAATTTGCGACTAGGCTTTGCCTTAACTGATACGAAATAAAAGGACTAGCACTTAAATTTTTGCTTAAATAAATTTAGAAATAAAAAGATTCATTGAAGTAGCGTCTTATAATTTTGTTACAATCTGAAGGTTTACCGTAATTTACCTGGAATGCATACACGCAACAATATTCCTTCAACAGCACGCCATTCTCAGCGGGTTCTGTAAACATGTACATTGCAGGCTCATATTTCGTTTTGATTTGCCGCTGACAGTCGTTAGTCACTAAGCAAGATCGACGGAACCGAAACAAGGAGAAAAACTGGAGTCAATAACTTTCGTTGGTAAAAAATGAGTACTTAAGGCTTCATTGTTTCTTCGTTTGACAGTAACGGTTACTTTAGAAAAAAAAAGATTTACATGTAAAATAAATCGGTTCCAAGTGGGTTGCGAATCTACGTATACATGAAAACGAGGTTTAGCAAACAAAGATGGCGGAATGTCCGCATGGCACGTATCGTCGATTCAGTCCTTCAGGGTTTTTTGAATAATCACTGTAGTAACACCCCTGATACTTCAGATGTAAAGCTTAATATATAAAAGAATTCGTTACTTGTTTTGTCATCGGTGGAAAACCTGCAAAAGGTAAAACTAAAGGAATTTAGTTACGTAACGTAACCTATAACCATGTCGGATGTCCGCCCAGTACAAATGTTATTGCTATTTTGCAGAGATTGGAGGCATTTAAGAACTGCAGTTTCCTGCTGTAATATCTGTTCATGATTTGGAAATCTATCGCTTTGACTGAAATAACAGACACTAATTTATGTGCCTTAACGCAGGTTCAACTTTATCGTTTAGATGAACTGGTGTTGTCCGAGATGCTAAACGTTCTGTACTATTAAGTCTCGAAATGACATGAAAGCTGTTAAAGAATGAAAATTAAAGCGTTAATCATTTAAAAGCCTACTTATTTCTTGATTAAATGGCCTCAATTAATTTCGCGACTAACATTTTCAAAGTTGCGACCAAATTTTCGTAACTAGTCGCAAATTTGCGACCAGACATTTTTTTTAATTTCGAGCCCTGTTATACTTGGTTTTTGTTCGAAATGAAATTGGGGTTAAAACATTATTTTAAACGATTATTGATTTCCTTTGTCTCCTTAGTCTATATAACAAAGTTTGCCTTATCCTAAGTTACTTGTAGTATGAATTAAACTTTAAGTGTTATATAATTACCTAGGACCAGGGGGACAAAAGAACTGAAAATCAAACTCAGTTGAAAATTACAGTACTGTATGTACAGTACATACAGATTGGTTAATTTTGATGTGACATGTAGGCTCAAGATTGTCAATTTTCTTTGTTTCCTAGCCTTTCTTGAAGTCTTACTAATAGGAAATTGTAGATCAATCGCAGTTAAAAATTTTAACCTGAAACCAAATTTGACCTGTAATATATGCAAGAGTATAGATGTTGTGGTTCAATTTTATCCTTGGTTTAAATTTTATTTCCCTTTATTTTGGGGTTTGGTAATGTATGGTAATGAATTTAAAACAAAGGGAAATGAAAATTAAACCAAGGATAAAATTGAATTACAACATAGACACTAACATAATGCCAACATATGTTATTGCCAGAGTGGTTTAATGCAGTCATGTACCAAGAATGTGCGTTAATATTCAATCCACTTGAAGATCTAGTGTCCATCTAATTACATTAGCCAATACAATACTGCTACCTGTATTGTACACATTATACTATACAGTCTGTTAATGGTTAAAAAGCGGCCAACATCCATTTACTTTTGTAACAATATAATAGAGTGACTTTACAAAATGTCTATTTCACAGTTTACAAGAAGCTAGAAGGAAAAAGAAAAAGAAGAGGACCCACACAAGTGATGCAGTGGTAAGCATCTTTAATTTGAGTAACGGTTGGAATGTGACCTTATTCAGGGCACACCAAATTGATTATATTGATTGTGTTTTTTTAGCTTGAAACCATTAAGTCAGGAAGACCAATAGCTAAGCCCACATCACAATCAGAAGAAAATCTTCTTCAAGCAAACTTATACAAAGGAGGTGAGTACATGCACTTATCTCAGGTGAAGATGTCTAATACATCAAGAGACAGAGCTACTGATATTACATTTTTAAACATTTGTAGTGGGGTTATGAAAAACCTAGGAAAGTAATGGAATTTAATAGTTTGAACACAGTATACCGTGTTCTGCACCATCCTGCTCCCATATCATACCAATACTCACCATCTACATGTCAGCCAATTCCTCATTAGCCTGCATAACAGGCATTATTTTTTTGCCTTTTTTAAGCAAGAGAAGGCAAGCACAAAGCGAGCAAGGGTGCAATACAATGGTGCAACAGCCAGCTTGTGCTCAACCTAGTTTGTGTCTTGCTCACCCGAAAAACAAAAAAAAATGGCCCCTGTTCTGCAGGCTTTTTCCTTTTAGTAAAATCCAACTAGTGATCTGTTATCAATGCTGCATTCTGATTGGTTGAGCTACTACTAGGCTATATGTTATTATATAACCCACTAGTAGCGAAAAGTGCCGACTTTGAAAACCAAAACAATGGCACCTGAATCGCGTTTTGCGAGCTAAAGTTGTTTTGTCTCAATATTTTTGACCAACTAGTTGGATTTTACTAAAAACAATAGCTCATTCGGCCTTCGGCCTCATGGGCTATTGACTCAGAGTGCATTCAGGCTGTATTCTTACAGTCAGCCCTGGTCTGGAATTTAAGGCTGACTACCGTAATTTTTATTTTCGACTGGTAATAGAGTCTAGATTCTCAGCTTGTTCATGAAAGTACCCGCAGAAGCTAAGATATTGATGCTAATCAGTGGTATCTTCACTTTAACTTAAAGATGATCCTGCACGAGAGGGAAAAGAAAACAAGCAATCTTACAGAGAGCTTTTGGAAGGTTCCTCAGCTGATCCAGCTGGTCTTGACAATGAGCAGGCAACTCAGAACACTCCTAAAAGATCAAAACACAAAAAGACCAGAACCTTAACCAGGTAAAACAAAACAACAAACATGTAATTAGTCAAAGACCTGAGCATTGCTGTTCTGACTAGTAGCACCAATGGTATGGGCCCATGAAAAATTGTACTCATCTAGACCTCAGGCAACTAAAATCTTATTTTTTACAGCTGGCACCATCAGTTTCACACTTTGTTTGATCAGAGCAGGGCTAAGAGTTTACATAATACTGTAGCATTATTAGTACACGGTATATTAATTTTATTGTGCATTGCACCATTAGAATGGTGTGAAGTTTGTTTGAACGTATTTAAATTATAATAATATTCTCTTATAGTTTAGTGAAAAGCAGCTTATTCAATGTTGTGAAAATTCTTCTTACATAAGTAAGCAGTGCTACAAAGGGGTGGTAAAATATAATTTATGATTAATAGTATACTTACAGTATATAAAATAAATAAATGTGATTCACCAGTATACTTTGGTGCTTGGTACGTGAAAAGTCAGCCCCACAATTTAATTTTACATCATCATCACCAGTTTTATTTTTTCCAAGTGAGCAAGAAACTCCAGATGGATCACAGGAAAAGCCTAGGAGAAGGAAAAAACCTAAAACTCCAGAGCCAAAAGTTGGTGGGGACAGTGCAAGAGAGAATCTTGGATTTCAAGATGATGCAGCCATGGAAGGTGATGGAGTAAGTACATGCAATCCTCTATTTTGTCTCTTCTACAGGTCTGTGAGTTTAGTCTCTACACCTGTTTACGCTTTCACTGCTAGCAGAGGTCTCTCTTCCCTGGTACTCGGCAGGTTCCTTTTACTCCTGCCCAGGGCTGTCAATAAGGGCTGGTAGCTGGCTACTTTCATCTCCTTCTACCATAACTGCTAACAAAAAATAACCACCATCGAATAAAATTGTAAAGTATCCATGTTCCAGTTCTGAATAACATTGAACACATATTTAAACACGTTTAGATCTGTGAAACGTTCCAACCGTGCGATGTCGTGAAATACCTAAACAACTTGGTCTTGGTCTTTCAACCACCCTGCAACATTTTGATGGCATTGTTCCCAGTGTTGCGAGTATTGTGACAAAACAACATGATAGTATCCGCAGTAGAAAATACCTTTTGAAAACCCCCAGAAATGCCAATTCTGAGATTCTAAATTTCGTAATGTCCCTATATGTCTTGGCCCTCAAGAACTTGTGCCTTTGGTGCGAGTTCCAAAGCCATCTACTAATCATTATCAGCCTGCTACTTGAAAACTTTTTGACAGCCCTGTCTGCCTGCCTAATGCTTGGGAGAAGAGGCCTCTGCCCGCAGGGAAGTTTACCTTTCCCACCTCCTAAGTCTGCAGTCCTATTAAGGTGGCTTGACCCAGTATTTTTGTAGGAATACCTTCCACGTTTGGACCTCTTATAGTTAAACAGCTTTGTCTTGGTCTTTCAACCACCCTATTTCATTCTTTGTCTTTTGTTCTCTCTCATCTGCTGACCTTCTCCTCGCTTAAGCCTTCCAATTTTATTTCCTGTGTCATCTCCCTAGGTCTCATTTTTCGTCCATGTTCTTCTATCCTTGTCATTTTCATTTCACCTACTTATTCTACATGTGTCCTCTTGACATCAACTTTATTTTGCTTTCTCTTTTCTTTCCACCCTTTACCATGAATCCATCACAATTTGACCCTCCTTATCCTACTGCCTCGTACTTCAGAATGTAACCAGTAGAGTTTTGATGCCTTGCTTTGTGTATTGTTCTTTTAGCCTGTTCTACCATCTTCAACTACACCCAAGAAAAAGGGTGGAAAAGCAAGAAGGAGACTTCATGGTATAGTTTTCTTCTGTCACACCTTGCCTCAGTTCAGCTTAACTAACAAGTTCAAATAGACTCTTCCACAGTTTAGTTTGTCTTTTTTTTTTCTTTTTTTTAACTTTTGACAAAAAGTAGTAAACGAATATCTATCAACACTTCTGGAAAGAGGGCTTTAAAATACCGTAAAATTCCGAAAATAAGCCCCTCCATGTATAAGCCCCTCCAAATATAAGCCCCCCAAACCGATGACGCAAAAAACCCTCCGTTGAATCGCCCCTCCAAATATAAGCCCACCGGGGGCTTGTACTTGGAAAATTGCCCTCAAATACAAAGTAAAACAAAGCAAAAACGGTAAATTTACTTCGAACTATAAGGCTAGTTCAATCGATTTGTAATCGCAAATTTCCCTCCGTAGAGAAGCCCCTCCAAAAATAAGCCCCTCAAAAAGGGCCTTTGAAAAATATAGGCCCCGGGGCTTATTTTCGGAATTTTACGGTATAAGGTAACTTACCAAGTTTAAAGGTGATAATTTATGTCCAAAGAAAGCGAAGCTATCACCCCACAAAGTCGCAAAATATTGTGGACGTTTCTATGGTGGAGGGCACGAACCATACAAACGTCTTCAAAATTCTGCGACTTTGCGGAGCTCTACCTTCATTAGTTTACAACAAATCACTTAATTCAAACTTGGTCACGTTACTAAATTTAAGGCGTTCTTTACAGACGTTTTATATGACGGATTTTCGCTTTAAAAAGCCGTGGAAGGGGATATTGACCTTTAGTATTCATCAAATAGTGCATAGCGATTTTCGCGCGTTCTGATTGGCTCCCGTAGCTCGAAATATCCTCGGATATTCACTGTTTTGGGACGGGATTCAAAATGGCTTTTCGCGGCGGTTTTGTAAGATGATATTTTAGCGGTAAATGAAGCAGCTGCACCAACAAATACCAAGGAAGAGACAAAATTTGGCTTGTCGGCGTTTACTGATTGGTAGAAAAAAATTTTCTTACTGAATCTGCAACAAAATCATAAAAAATGATCCCGAAACACTGTCAATTGCAACATAAACAAACTCTAACAAAGTGACGTCTTTTATTTACAAAAAGTTCCTTTTTGATTTTATCCAACTGATTTGGTAAATACTAAAACAACTATCCTCCGCAGGGTCGGTTCATAGCGCTAGACATATACCCACCACTATTCACGTCCCCTTCGGGGATAGTTGTATAATATTGTAATCAATTCTACTAATGATTCATACTCTCCACTTAGATCCTGATGCAGACAGACCAATAGAGGTTGTAAAGAAAAGAACAGATGATGGTTATATTCTCTCTGTTACTGTGCATCGTGCTGACTACCTTAAGCCAGATCTTTGTATATCGCATCCAATGGTGAGAGTTCACCTGGTGGATATGGACACGGGGCAGTATGTGAAGAAATCCGACAGGTAAATAAGCAAGTTATATGCTTGAAATTGACCCTCTGTAAATCCCCTAGTAACCCAAGGATTGAATAAGTCCAGTAAACCATCAGGACAAGTAGATTCCCTTCCCAGCAATAACCTTTTAAGCTCACATGCCCAATGGGCAAAACCCAGTCGTGCAGTGACGGCAAAAAAATCTGCAAAAAACGTGATGCATGTGCAAAGTTGTATTTTTCGTTGCTAAAGCTCCCTATTAGGTAGGCACGTGACCTCACCTAGGTGCACACTGTATTCTTAAGTGCATGCCCACATTTTGATTGTTAATGTACTGAATATTCTTTGTTGTTCTGTTCATTACAGTGCTCGTAGCGTGACATCTTACTATGAAAATGAAATCGAAACTCCAGTTGATTACATCATGCCTCTCATGACTCAACCTTATGATTTCAAGAAATACAAGTAAGTAATGTAGTTATTATCATTTTTCTAACATTCTACTTGTAGGGTTGCCCTGACTCATAAATCGGTTATGCTAAAGATACGGTTAATTTCCCACCGAAAAATAACTCCAAGGCCGAGTTGTTCAAAGCTGGATTAAGAAAACCCAGGGTTAGTGCGAAATTTCAGTTTCAGGTATAAAAGCTTTAAAAGTAAATTTAGTTTACTAATTTTTATCCTCAATTTGTTCATTGGATGCTCTACAAAGAATTGGAGAAGATTATTCGAGAAAATGCGTTTGAACAAGAGAAAAAGAAACCCGGATTAGAATTTAACTCCGTGGTAGCGCCTTTCGGTCTTCGAACAACTGGGCCCAGAATAGTAAAACAAAGGGTAGCCTGAGAAAACAGCCCCATCTCGCGTTGCCACCACTCAGTCGGTTTCCCGCGAAAACAGAAATTCCATAATGTTGAGGCGTCACTAACCAGTTCTGAGTAGTGCTTCTGATTGGCGGAAGCAAAGTTTTCACGCGGCACACTGTGCGACCAATCAGAAGCGCTACTCAGATCCGGGTTTTGATGCGTCATCAGTATGGAATTTCTGCGCTCCTTTCTCAGACGTCATTTCGTGGGAACACCAATGGTGGCGTCGCGAACTGTCGGCTGCTTTCCCAGCCTATTCATTACCTTGTTCTACATAGTGCTTCTGATTCGTTGGAAATTTGCTTGAACCAATGAGAAGCACTACCCAGATCTGAGTAGTGACGCGTCATCAGTATGGAATTTCTACGCTTGTTCCTCGACTGTTTTCTCAGACTAAGTAAAGAGCGAAATTCTTGCATAAGCCCCGTAAGTTGACCTGTCCCTTTTTCGATGTATACAACTTGCTGGACAACTTTTTTCTAACGAAATTAAATTAAAAATAAATATGTAAATGATCTAATCAATGAGCCTTTCCAGCGACATTTTCTGCATACTAATGTACATGTATGTTGCGATTTCGTTTAGATCTTTGATGCCATCATGGGAAGAAGTTCTTTTGTTCAATGAGATTTTCTCGTACTTTCTTAGTCGCGAAGAAACAGACCCCAAGGTCATCATGTTTTTTGAGGTAAAAATTCTTTAAGCTTTAATTGTGCCTCTTATCATTTTGGTGTGCTTATCAGAAGAATGGCACCCTTCCTTATTTTGCGCCCAGTTGGTTTTTGATCCAAAAAACACGGTAGAAGTATGATTAATAGAACACACCAAAGCTAACAGCAGCTTTAATGTGATCACTATCACGAGGACATACAAATAATATTGTATACGCAAAATTATATTTTACTCATGAAAGACCTACATTTGAGACAGTTTACTTGATTACTTTGCCAAATATTAAACTTGTCGAAGCTAAGGATCATCGTTTTAAATTCATGAAATTGGGCACGGGATCGCAAATTGCCTGAGAGACAATTCCACAGTTTCGCGGATGAATAAATAACTGCAAGAATAAAGTCCTTAAGAAATAGTTCGTCGTCGCCTAGGAGGGGGTAAGATATGCTTTCCTGCACGAAAGTAAAAATTTGCAGATCAGATAGGAAACATGTCCTGGGATATTTTTTTTAAAAGAAGACACTGTTGTAAAGTAAATTAGCCTTAAATAAAGTAGCTGGCTTTTACACTTGTATAATTTGTCATTCTCTGAAGGTGGTTGACTTTCTGAGCATGACAGCTGCCAATAGAAGAAAAGGTCCCTCAACATTGGATAAAGGCTGGTATCAGGTGGCGTGGGCCTTTCTCAAAGTAAGTCTCATGGTCCCAGGTAAAGCCCGGCAAACCGTTTGTGACTTGAGCGACTTAGGGTGCTTAGGGCCTGCATCAACGATCAAAATATCGCGTAAAAATAATTTCTACCGCTCACTATACCTCCTTATTTGATTTGAATGCTTAAAGCCAACGTAAACTGACTACAGTCGAACCTCCATGCACGGCCACCGTGCTTATACTATCACCTCCTTATAAGCGTCCACCTATCAAAAACACCAAAATTTTCACACTGAAATCACAAAATTTGGATGATGATTGAAGAATTCGCTATTATTTTTACCCCCCTGTAAGCGACCACTTAAGGCTTGGCTTGATGACCCACTACACAGAGTGTGCGAAGAATTCTCTTGTAAAATGTAGATTTGTAAGGATCTCTTCTATGGAGGCATCCCTGTGGTTCGATTCCCGTAAGCGACCGCCAAATCTTTACATTTGAGGCGGTCGCCTCTGAGAGGGTCGGCTGTATGTTGATTATTGACATAGTAATTGTAAATGTCTGTTTAAGGTAATCGGTGGAAATGGAGCACCCAACACAGAGAAGAAAGTTCGTCTTCAGCTTTTTCAGCCTCCCAAGACTTCGTTCAGATCAAATAACACGGTAGAAGTAAGTAGCTTGGCGAGTTACACAAACAAGTCACGCGTGGCAAGTTTTTACTTCTGACTGGCTGAGATACTTGCGCAAATTTTTCCTTAAGCGCAACTTCTGTCGAAGCTCGACGTCAAACGCAACAATTAAACCAATCAAAACAGATGCTCTCCATCGTTACAAATAACTCAAGTCAACCCATGCAAGGCGCGGCAAAACGCATACACATGTACGAGCCAAGTCAAGAGTGGCATGATTTTACTTTCGATTGGCTGGTAAAATGGCGGAAGAAGTTTTTAATCTGTCACAAGGCATTGTATGGTGCTGTGCCTGTCGCAACTGGGTTTAAAGTAGATACTCTTTTGCCATCTTAGGGACGTCAATAGATAACGTACAAATTATTACGAGACAAAGAGAATTGTATCAGCCTGTGGCCTGCGTAACAAGCGTCTCTGATCGCTTTATTGCGAGAATTCTGCGGATCCATCTTTTTCGCTCCTTTTCCATCTTCATTGACAAACTCGCGCGGAAACGCTTGGTACGTTGGCCAGTGTTCATGTAAACATATTGGTTTATTTCATTCGAGAAATTCGCTTTCCTAAAGAAACTTTAATATTTTAAAACTTGATTCCAAGTAAAAATTCTGGCTATGGTTACTGTAGCGTGTTGTTTGTTTGCACATAGGTGTATCAATGGTGGAAACAAGCCAGGCGTGTACCATATCCCTCTACCCTCTATGTGACGCTAAAAGGAGTCCAACCTCCAAAGACTATTGACCCTAGTCTCAGATCCATGTTCGCCATCCAACAGGTCTGTTTCTAGCTTATTTTATAACACAGCGTTGTTTACTAGTCTCATTGGAATCAGTTTCCAGCCCCAAAGTAAGAGCTATTCTAGACCAAAATGCTACGCGTACTAAACAGTCTAGTGGTACCTCCCCTCCCCCCTCATAGTTCCTGAGCGGCGTTTATCCTAAGAACCTACAAACAGATCCTTTTACAAGACAACTGTTTCTGAAAAATCTTCTTTGTATCGTGAAAAAGAGTGTTGTAAACAACCGGCGTGTATTAAGGACAGTTAAAGGTTACATTGAGTTAAGAAATCAACGTAGCTAGTGATTCAGTAGTAGTTATGCATCAGCAAAGATAAGCCCCGTTGGTGGATTCCCTTTGGATTCCCTCGCAAAAAGTGGATTCCCTTAATTAATAGGCATATGGGTCTAGTCTATGACGTCACCGATTGTTATAACCTGGGGAAAAAGTGGATTCCCTTTATTAATATGTATAAGTGTCTTCCTGCATACTAATTTGGATTTCCTGCATACTAATTAAGTGTCTTCCTGCATACTAATTTGGATTAGGTTTACTAATGAGCGTCACTCTACTACAATAGGAACAATAGGCTTGCCCAGAGTTGCCCGGTCTATGTTCACCCTGATTGGTTCATGTAGAATCTATTCTATCTTCCAAATAAAGGCGGGTAGATTTCGAAAGCGCTATCGTTCTTGCAATCGCTTTGCTAATGAAAATTTATCTCCGAGACTTCTTTCAAACATTGCTCCAAACATGCAAGTCGAATCGAGCTGTAAACTTGTCTGACTATTACAGAACTGTTTTCTCCTTTCTATCTCGAGGACATGAAAAACTATTGAAGTCTTGTCATTTTCACGCACGGTTAATCAGTTAATTATGCGAGTTCACAAGCCCAAAGTTGAATACAAATTAGCTCTACAGGAAAGACCCATGGGAGAGAATCTTGACGTATTATTATAAAACAAATAACTTAACAAGGATCAATTAAAACACGCGACTCATAATTGCTAGCGATAAAATCTGACACGAGATACCGTTTACAACAAAAAGAGTCAAATACACAGCGATTTGAAAGAAATCTATTAAAACAGTCAAAGAAAGCAAGTCATGTTTTACTTACCCCTCTCCCTTTTCAATTTTATTTCCCTCCTGAATTTTTTCTTTTTTCCCTTCTCCACAATTTTATTATTTTCCCTCCTCAATGTTTTTATTCCCTCCTCCACAATTTTTATTATTTTCCCTCCTCAATGTTTTTTATTCCCCTCCTTCACCTCCACCTCCTCATTTATTCTATATATTTTTCCATCCACAAATACATCGACCTCCTAGCGACCCTACATCGATCCCACATCGACCCTACATCGACCCCACATCAACCCTACATCGATCCTACATCGACCCCACATCGACCCTACATCGACCCCACATCGACCCTGCATCGACCCTACATCGACCCCACATCGACCCCACATCGACCCGACACTCAACTTTTTTGTAACACTGCTTCGTAAATAGTGAAGCTATATACCACCACCGCCACATTTCTATTGTTTTTCCACCACCACCACCACCGCCGCCACCACATTTCAATTGTTTTCCCACCACCACCACCACATTTCTATTGTTTTCCCTCCACCACCACCACCACCGCCACCACATTTCAATTGTTTTCCCACCACCACATTTCTATTGTTTTCCCTCCACCACCACCACCACCACCGCCACCGCCACCACATTTCTATTGTTTTCCCTCCACCACCACCACCGCCACCACATTATTATTGTTTTCCTCCACCACCACCACCACCGCCACCGCCACCACATTTCTATTGTTTTCCCTCCACCACCACCACCACCACCACCGCCACCACATTATTGTTTTCCCTCCTCCTCCTCTTCCTCCTCCTCCAACTCCTCCACATTTCTATTGTTTTCCCTCGAAAGGCCAAAGAGGCCAAAATCAGGCCTAAAAGGCCTAAAGGCCAAACTTGGAGGAAAAACAATAGAAATGTGGAGGAGGAGGAAGAGGAGGAGGAGGGAAAACAATAATAATGTGGTGGCGGCGGTGGTGGTGGTGGTGGTGGAGGGAAAACAATAGAAATGTGGTGGAGGTGGTGGTGGTGGTGGAGGAAAAACAATAGAAATGTGGTGGTGGTGGTGGTGGTGGGAAAACAATTGAAATGTGGTGGCGGTGGTGGTGGAGGGAAAACAATTCAAATGTGGTGGCGGTTGTGGTGGTGGTGGAGGGAAAACAATAGAAATGTGGTGGTGGTGGTGGGAAAACAATTGAAATGTGGTGGCGGCGGTGGTGGAGGTGGTGGAAAAACAATAGAAATGTGGCGGTGGTGGTATATAGCTTCACTATTTACGAAGCAGTGTTACAAAAAAGTTGAGTGTAGGGTCGATGTGGGGTCGATGTAGGGTCGATGTAGGGTCGATGTGGGGTCGATGTAGGATCGATGTAGGGTCGATGTAGGGTCGATGTGGGATCGATGTAGGGTCGCTAGGAGGTCGATGTATTTGTGGATGGAAAAATATATAGAATAAATGAGGAGGTGGAGGTGAAGGAGGGGAATAAAAAACATTGAGGAGGGAAAATAATAAAAATTGTGGAGGAGGGAATAAAAACATTGAGGAGGGAAAATAATAAAATTGTGGAGAAGGGAAAAAGAAAAAATTCAGGAGGGAAATAAAATTGAAAAGGGAGAGGGGTAAGTAAAACATGACTTGCTTTCTTTGACTGTTTTAATAGATTTCTTTCAAATCGCTGTGTATTTGACTCTTTTTGTTGTAAACGGTATCTCGTGTCAGATTTTATCGCTAGCAATTATGAGTCGCGTGTTTTAATTGATCCTTGATAAGTTATTTGTTTTATAATAATACGTCAAGATTCTCTCCCTTGGGTCTTTCCTGTAGAGCTAATTTGTATTCAACTTTGGGCTTGTGAACTCGCATAATTAACTGATTAACCGTGCGTGAAAATGACAAGACTTCAATAGTTTTTCATGTTCTCGAGATAGAAAGGAGAAAACAGTTCTGTAATAGTCAGACAAGTTTACAGCTCGATTCGACTTGCATGTTTGGAGCAATGTTTGAAAGAAGTCTCGGAGATAAATGTTCATTAGCAAAGCGATTGCAAGAACGATAGCGCTTTCGAAATCTACCCGCCTTTATTTGGAAGATAGAATAGATTCTACATGAACCAATCAGGGTGAACATAGACCGGGCAACTCTGGGCAAGCCTATTGTTCCTATTGTAGTAGAGTGACGCTCATTAGTAAACCTAATCCAAATTAGTATGCAGGAAGACACTTAATTAGTATGCAGGAAATCCAAATTAGCATGCAGGAAGACACTTATACATATTAATAAAGGGAATCCACTTTCAGTAAATATGAAATTCCCAAGTGTCCCAACTGATTCACTCACTTTATAGACAGGTTCAAGTATTCTTACTTATCACAACCATCGCAATCATAAAGCTGTTAATAAAAAGGTCCTCAGTTTTTTACTTGGTATTCCTGGTAGTGTCAGTCTTGTCCACCGCCTTTGTCTGTATTCATGTTGTGCCTGATAGCCTGCCTGTTTTTCGTTCCTCTTCTTTGCAGGAAAAAGGCAAAGTTACTTTTGAAGAGTTCTCTTTAGATGCCGAACGGCGAGCTCACGGAATGAGGTGGTTTCCTGCAACGTATAAACTTCATACACAACCTGTTTTGTTTTGTTAGAGAATCTTGCCCTGTTGCTGGCAAACGTTTTGGCGAAACACGCGTTTGCTAAGTTGTTTTGCTTTATGCTCTTTTTCATTTCGTTTCTTTTTTTCTGTTTTTTTTTTTCCTTTTTGAGGATGTTTTTGCGCTTATTTGTGAGAACTACATTTATTATAATCCAACTGCAACTGCAAGGATGTTTCTGCAACGATGTTGTTATGTAATGTTTTATTCTCAAATACCTCCTTCTAAATTTCTCTAGAGATGGAAAAAGCAACAAGGAGCCTACGAACTGGAGCAGACTTCCCGGTCAGGTAATCTACCTGCTTTCTTTTTATAAATGTTGCCTTTCGGGCCCAGGCGGAAGATTCTTATTATTCTGTTATGAGGTAGTTACCTTTAATTTTGTTTTTCAGTTTTGCTATTTTTAAGATTTTGCTAGCTTTTATAGACTTAGAAACTTAAAGATTCAATGTATTTCCCCACATGGTTAGTTCCTGAGTTTTTGTCTAGTGTTATCCATTTGAAGTGTTTGTTAAACTTAGTTTTGGTTCTTTGAAGTAGGCTTGTTTGGGAAGTACAGCTGACCTTGAGTTTTACCCACAGTTGAGTTCCTGTTTTGTATGTTTTGTCCTTCTGGGCAGTTTCACTGTTAGCATTTAACTGGTTCTTTGGTACTTGTCGGTTGCGGCTGTGTAGGCTTATCTTACTATAGCAAACCTGTTGCGATATAGGCGATAAGGTATTCAATAGAAACTCTTCCGGTCAGTTAACTCAAAATAAGTCTATAATTTGGTTATTTAATTCGCTGTGTAAGCTAGTAGAATTAGTTGAGTAGCAGAGTTGTTGTCAGTAGCTGTTGAAGAATAAACTTCCATCTTAAAGAGAAAGAACAGAGTCTTGGTCTTCTCTTTAAAAAGCCAAGCGAGCTTCACAAGCCCCCAACAAGCCCTCTACCGTTTCTAGCCTGAAAATATTGACGGTACAGATGTATTACATGTACCGTTCATCGAACAATCATTAGCATTGAACATTTGGTTAAAGCTGGTGCAGGTTTTTCCAATTTGTCTGCTAGTTTTGCCGTTCAGAGAAAGGAATAATTTTATACGGTTAAGTTAAAAACGGATGGTTGTACACATGTATTGTAGTTACAGATTTTCAACGGACAAAATAATATCCTTTTCAAAATCTCAGCCTTGGGTTTATTCTTAAAATAATTCGCAAATTGATTCTTATAAAAAGAAAAGAGGCTTAACATAACGGCCGGTCAAGATGTTGACCATTTGTCCGTACAAACGTTCGGTTTGCCGGTCGTTTTGACTGGACACGTAAATAAGCGACCAGAAAAAATAATGCCTTTTCAGACCATTACGTTTCAAGAGCACAAGCAACCTTTTTCACTTATGTTGTTGCTCGGTAGGCTAGTAAGTTCAAGTTGCTATCGTGTTATTTTTAACAATTTGAACGGTCAGAAGAGGGACATGACCGAGCTAAAATTTCTTTGGTCAGTCAACAAGCAGACCGGCAAAGAGTCCTGTTTTTTTGCGGGCGCATTAGTTATCCAGTATAGTGTAGACACATAACCAGAACAAGTTAATCACAGACGTCAATAAGCGCTGACAAGCCTGAATGAACCATTTAGCTTCGAGCGCGAGAATACCCCTCTCTGCAGTGCGTGTAGAATCTCACAACCAGGGTAATTGATTGTGCGTTGCTCAGAACATTTCACTTGGGAAAAACCAACAAACAAACAAAACAGCCAATCACGCAGCGTAGGTTACTGAACCCAAAGCAATCGCGTTTGATATTCCACTCAAAACTACTTTGATGATTGTCTTTTTATAACCAGAGATGTTTTTGTAAAATTACTTGATATATACTTCCTGAACCTTGTTTTCTCTCTCATTGCGAGAAGTGCAGAGGTTCTTCCAGACCTCTGTTTCCATTGACCTTAATAAGCAGTCGCTTCTTTTGTTTTTAAGGGAAGGGGTATTGTTTGTGTTGATTCATCTGTTGTTTCGTTCCTCAATCACAGACCATGTCAAGAGAGCTACTGACCTTCTCCTTATTACCCGTCTTTTGCAGGTTAATCGCATTCCAAACAAGCAAAAGGCGTCCCTTTTATCAGGCAAAAGAGGCTGCTTCATACTGAAGTTCTCTCACAATGGCAGGTACAATCACAGGTGGAACTGAGAGTGTTTTGTTTCTTGCCTAGCTCCTAGGCCTCGCTTTTCTGCGCGGCCTATGCGTTTCAGGTCACGTGGACCGAGCAAGTTTTTGGCCGTTTGTCTCGGATACGTCACCGAAATGCGTTGACCGAGAAGGCCTGGGAAGACTTCCTAAAGGGACTAGGCAATTTTGTATGCATAGCGTGCTGAAGTATTTATGGAAAAATAAATTTCTGTAAGAGGGTTGCCTGCGTAGCAAGTATTAATTTTGCGCGAAAGTTGGAGCTTTTTTACTCTCTTGACGAACTCGCGCGGAAAGCTTGCTAGGTAGGCTAGTAGGAAGGATAATATGGTGTTCTAAGTAAATTTATGCGAAAGGTTTGAACCCAGGAGTCATTTCATAAGTAGGTTTTGCATGGTCGTCCGGGTGAACGTAGTCCTGAATAAGCCGTTGTTGTTGACAGAAACGTCGTGTATTGTTGGTCAAATTGTCGGTTGTCAGTCATTCTCTCGTAGTTAGTTTTGCTTGAGTCCGTCAATAACTGATATGACTTACTGTCATGAAACGAACCAAACTCTAATTTGGGTCGACCTAACAGTTAAGTTAAGATCGACTCGTCTGTTGGGCCAGACGTAGAACCAATAACCTGGATCGTACCAAAAAACAAGTTTAAAGAAATTTTCTCCAGAACAAGGCTAAATATGCATTGTCATACAAATGTTTCATTTATTAGTTTAGTTCGTCGCATGTGGAGATGGACGTTTGTCCCGGAGACGATCTTCAGGCGTTCTATCGGTCTGAAACAGACGGACGGACAGAGCGTGTTGGACGATCCAAACTCATTCAGACGAACTTAACTGAGCCTGACCTCAAACTTATCATGAACTTAACTCACTAAGTTTGGTTCGTCTCATGAAACGTTCGACGTTTGGCCCAGGCCTTTGTGATTTTGAGAGAGAGTCCCACCACCTTTATGGTGGTGAAGGTCGTTACTCTCTAACCAAATGACGCTGAATGCTTCAGCATTTTATTCGGATGCCAAAATAAGCATTACATTCAGAGTTGCACTACTGGGAGAGGAGGAGGTTATTTAGGAACTCATCTCCCTTTACAACGAAGCAGAAGTTGCACTACAGGGGTTTAACCCTTTAAATCCTAAGATCAAAATTTGAATTTTCATTTGTTGCCCTATTTATTTCCTACAGAAGTAGTGGGGAGAAGGTGACAAAATATCAAGCAAATTCATCTTGTGTGATCATGTCCCTTATTCTCATGACCACTCTGTTTAACAAAGCAATTGATATTGCAAGGAGAAATTTGATGCTGATCACTCTTAGGGCTTAAAGGGATAAATATAATCGGAAAATGCCTATGAACACTAGCAACAAGGAATCAATGGAAATGCAGAGGAAGAGTTCGTGTGAAGGACCTAATTTACTCATACACGTCCGTAAACGATTTCCCTTGCTTTCTTAGATACCTAGCTTGTGGTTGTGCGGACTTGGATAGTTTCCCTATTCTTGTTTATGAGGTAAGCTAGTTCGTTTTCAGTGGTTGACACGGTGTAATATTCGTGTGGAAATGTCAGATAAACATGTAAAAGAGAGAGACATAAAAGTCTATGAAGCATCAATTGTGATAAATTGAGCACATTCGCATAGTAGGCTATTTTATGTTCTAATGAAAAATTAAGCTACATTTTTGTCTTTTATTTTTTATATTTTCCTGTACGTGTCTCTGAAAATGTATCTCTGTCAAGGGATGAAGTATAATAAAGTATGTATGTTTGAAACACGGCTACAGAATTTGCTCGACCAGAAGTAGTTCGTGGTCAATCAGAAACACGGAAACCAGTGCTTGAAATCTCCGGTGTCTTTCTGGGGGTTTTTTGTTTGTTTGTTTGTTTGTTTGTTTGTCTATGTAACTTTGCAACGACATCGCCGTAATAACCTCCGTATAAAATCATAGCCAGTAATATTCTCACCCTGAGTGGTGGTATATGACAACAAAACATGTCTGTGGCCAACTTCAAAAGGAGAAGGCCCATCTCCTAAAATACAATCAGTGTTGGGGAACATTCAAGTACCGTAAATAATCTACTTGACGCTCCCCCCCCCCTCCCACCTCGCCCTCTCAAACATACGCCTCTTGTATAATAAACGCCCCCTTTACGATGTCTCTTCGTCCGCCCCCTGTCTAATTGACACCCCCATGAAAGTTACTCCAAAATACTAAGAATCAGCAAAAAGGAGGAAAATCATTCAATTTGTCGAGTTCCTTGGTTGTTTAACAAGGGTTTGCGCATTGCATCTTGTTTAATGTCAACATCGAAGTTGAGATTTGAAATTGATGGACTGGATGTTGCTCTTTAGATAAACTTCCTTGATATTTTAACTGAAAGCGTATTAGTTTTGTTGCTATTGGAGAAAAATTAATGACAATAAATGCCTTTCTATGAAAAGCTCCAAAATTGAAATAAACACCCCGGGCGTCTATTAGATCACTTACGTTATGTTGTAATACTGGCATTCTTTCTTTGTTCACACTTTGCAGGTTCCTTCGTACGAGACTCGTGCCTATCTCCCAGGACATTTCAGCATCATTTATGACTTGTGCTGGTCTCCCAATGATGAAGAACTCTTGTCAGCTTCATCTGATGGAACAGTCAGGTATGGATCCTTCTTACCATTCTCCTTTCAACACTAAGAGAGAGATCACTGCCGCGTGAAGGTTGGTGAAGAGAGCTTATTCGTGTCATTGATTTGTTTGATTCGGGTCTGATCATTTAACACTCGCCATTATTTCCAGGGGGAAAATAGGGCGGCAGGCGATCAAATCTACTGTGCGGTTCTCAGCAGCCCTTATTTATTGCTTAATTTGGCTGATGCATCACCAATTCCATATTCGGATGGTTTCTCCAAGCGGAGCCCTTTAGAGCGAAGACCACAGTATAACGAATGAGTTACAGTAAAATGTATGGAACAAGACCCCCGTTGTTTAGCGGTTTAACCTTCCGTTATGGCGACTACATATTAAGGAGTTAAAGCTGCGACGCTTTTGAGCGACTCAGGTCAACCGGAAGTGGAAGTTTTGCACTCTTAGGCCATGCGTTTGAACAAATTTTCTAGCAGATCCTCTCTATCAGAGTAAAACCACTTGCCATATCAAGTTTGATAGCATCAAGGCATAAAATGGAAACGTACTCACTTCCGGTTGAAGTGCGTCGCACAAAAATTTTTTCTTAGTTCCCTGGTTCTTCGTTTCATCGGGGTATGTTACGCTGGAAATGAGATCTCATGCTGGAGAGTTAGCAGTTACCTTGTTCACGGAAGCATAGCTGAAGAAACCTTGTAAAACATTGTGTGCAACACGTCTAGTTTTACTTATTGTTTTAAATTAATCCACAGATCCTGGGACACGAAGACGATGATGACGTCATCCATCAAGCTTTTCCCCCACCCCTGTTTTGTGTACGCGGCACAATATCATCCAGGCTCCCCTCATATCATAGTAACCGGGGGTTATGACCACTATTTGAGGGTCTGGACTAAACTGAGTGAAGGCCTGAATGGCAAGGTACGGTTCTGTCGTGATAACTTGGTGCTAACTCTTAAAGCCATCAACAGCAGTTATGTAGCAGCTCTCCTAACCCAAAAGCCAATTTGTTCGATACCCTAACCGTGATGTCTCATTGTTTTCTGCGACCACTGAGAAAACACCTTACAAGCAGCTCCTACATTACCATCAACAGTGACGCAACAGATTGTTCATGAATGGTTCACTGACAGGAAGCTAAAGGACGTTTTCATGCAAGGCCCTGCCAAGTCTCAAATTTCGCTCGATTAGTCTTGTATTTAAGTGTTCTTGTATTAATCATAATGGGACTGAAATCATCTCGTTCGCAGTTCACAAGAGATCTGATAACGAGATTAGGATTCAGCTTCCAATATGAGAAATGGTTGTCAGAGGAGGCCTGGTGCCATAGGGGTTGTAATTTAGTGCCATTGTAATGGAGCCTTTATATTTCCTGAAAGTAATATACCTTTCCTTGCAGCTTCTGAGAGAGATTGAAGGACACAGTGGCTTCATCAACAGCGTCTGTTTTGATGAAGAAGGTAAGAGTTGTATAGGGCGCACCGAATTATCTGTTTTTTACGGAAGCCGAGGAGGGACAATCCAAAAATATTTTGCAATTCCAAAAAAATATTTGAAATCGCAATGTTTTTCTCAAATCACTGTCGAAAAGTTTGACAAATCTAAAAAACTATTGCAAATCCTAAGAAAATTTGTGGATCCGCAAATAACTTTCTCAATAATCCGAAAATATTTTGCAAATCCATAAAATTATTTCAAATCGCAATTTTTGTACAAATCATTCTTGAAGAGTCTGGTAAATCTAAAAACACATTACAAATCCAAAGAAACTTATTGGATCCGCAAATAACTTTTTAGAAAACTCTAAAATAGTTTACAGTCCAAGAATCAATTCAAATCCAAAAAAATATTTCGGAAATCGTGTGTTCTGAATGAAGGTGGTTACTTCTTCGTAACCCATAATGACGTAGCCTTCTCTTCAAAGTCCTCACGTTCATTGAAATCCCATGGTATTCTGCCAGAAAGTGAACAATGGTCTCATAACAAAATCCCCCTTTAACCCGAGCTGGACAACACACTTCCCTGTTTACGTCTTTTTAGTGTTCCACACCAACGGCAGAATATTTCATTGCTCCCAAATTCTCTCCTACATTTATGACAGAACATCACTCTCGATGTTCTAACCTCCTTCCTTCGCCATTTTGTACGGGGGAAATGGCGTGAAACAGCCAGTATTGTAGGTTTTCATTGTCACGCCATTCAAAATAGATCGAAATAAAAAGCAAAACCCCTCAATAGATAAAGTCCAGAATCTGGGAAATGAAAGGAGGTAAATATGCAAAGACCCTCGCCAAGATTCAGGTGAGAGGAATATTTCGTATACGAGATATCCGAAGAAATGTCTTACCCAAATTTATAGAGATTTGTATGGAGACGCCATGCTGGTGCCCACCTGGATGGGCTCCAACATTACGGACGGAAACCAACAGAAACATCTGTTACTGAGTTTTGCTACAAAAGCGTGAATTTCTTCTTCGAGGAACTCATAAACATTAAAGGAATACTTTTTATAACACATGAACTGTTTGGATAGCAAAATTCCTTGAAATAACGTATTTTTTAAATCGAGATGTCAACTCTCTTGACCGTCATGTAAATGCCGCGTCACGCAAAACCTTAGAAATTCAAGCATACTCTATCACAAAACCAAGAACCCTTTTGAAGCGAAAATTTGTATGAAAATTAGTTTTCAGCTGCTCTAATACATCGTGAAAGTAAAATCTCGGTAGGATCGATAGTTTTGTAGTTTAAATTTTAGAAGCATGTGACAAAACTTTTTTTACGATTTCCAAAATATTTTTTTGGATTTGAAGACGATTCTTGGACTTTAAACTATGTTAGAGTTTTCTAAAAAATTATTTACCGATCCAATAAGTTTCTTTGGATTTGCGATACTTTTTTAGATTTACCAGACTCTTCAAGAATGATTTGTACAAAAATCGCGATTTGAAATAATTTTATAGATTTGCAAAATATTTTCGGATTATTGAGAAAGTTATTTGCGGATTCACAAACTTTCTTAGGATTTGCAATAGTTTTTTAGATTTGTCAAACTTTTCGACAGTGATTTGAGAAAAAAATTGCGATTTCAAATATTTTCTTGGATTTGCAAAATATTTTTGGATTGTCCCTTCTCGGCTTCCGTAGTTTTGTGCTGACAAATGTCATTAACTTTGTCTTTTGTCTTTACCTTATAAATAAAATACGGGGGAATCTCATTAACAGAAGATAATGTGCTATTTTAAGGGGTTTTAACCAGTTTGACAGGTTTTCTAGTTATTCTTAGGTCGATGACTGCCTTGCTTTTTAATTGGTTGACTACAAACTTTAAAAGTATTCATTGGTTGATTCATGTTGTCGAAGGAATAAGCGCTAACTCACCTGCGACTTAAAGTCACCGATTTTGATTTGAGATTCCCCCGCATTTTATTCAAGAGGTAAAGACAAAAGGCTATGACTTCATAGGCGTTGATGTATATTACAGCAAAGTAATGAGGTTCCTCTAAAAAACTGGATAATTCGGTGCTCCCTATACTACTGGTGCGACTGTAATACAACTTAAAAATTGACTATATTTTAAGCTAGTTGATCAGCTTTCTTATTCGTTATTCCCTACGACATGAATCAACGGGTGGTAATGTCACGTTTGAGGATTAATGGTTGTCAGTCTATTCAAGGATTGTCCCAGGCATTTTGTCACTTTTTTCTATGGGTTCATATTTTGGCCTCATTCACCAGTATCATCCCTACTGTAGCCCACGGGCCAATTTTTGCCATATTCGTTATTTTCGCCATAGCTGGCTGGTTTTCACTATTTTCGTCATATTCACCATTTTCGTCATAATCTTCACTTTCCAAGGAACCATTTTTGGCATCCAATTTGAATATTTGCTAAGCCCATGGCGAATTTAAATTCTTGCCAACCCCTGGCGATTTTTCGCCATTTTTGCCATTGCATGCATTTCTGAACGTTAGTGCATAAATGCGTATGCTGTTCCTTACTTTGAAGGTGCTAAGATGTTCACAGCGGACAGTAACGGCCTTGTGATTATTTGGAACTCATTCATTAATCCTCAGATGGATACCAAGAGGAAAAGGAGAGGTACTGGTGGTAAAATTTAAAAAACACTTTTTTTCGTCCCTTAAACTGGCTCCTTGTCTCCGCAAGGGCCTATTTTGTGCTATTAAACCTTCATTCATGCTGCTTCTGTACTAAAAAGAGCTCTGTCGTGTTGAGTGCTTTACTGGCCGACGTTATCCCTTTTATGTCCTTATTTCCTTTTCGAGCAAAAGTCGTCCTTGAAATGGCACATACCAATTATAAACCAGAGCTACAAATAACAGTCGGTCATCGGACAGTGGGCTATAAAATTTAAATTATAGCTGTCTTGATGATCGGACAAAGTAAATGACTAACACCATCATTTTTTAAATGAATGAAACCTTCCTTGAGCGCAAGACTGTGAGTTATCGTTATGACACTCGGCACCTATTAAGCTCAAGATTCGTTTAAGATGTGTAATGCATTCTTGATGGATTCCGATAACATTTTTGTTTTAACCGACCAAAGTAGTGACTTGAGGCAGTCATATGTCCTTCCCAGAAAAAATAAATTATTTGCATCTCTGATGAAGGGGAGAATGAGTAGTCGTAGAAGCTTTCGGTACGACGATTTCTGAAATCGTGGGGTGGCGAATATTTGACTCTGATTGTAGATGGATATCATCGACCATTCGTCGCTAAGGTGTGGGCCAAGCGTCGAACTTTTCATGAGACGAACCAAACTTAGTTAAGTTCATGACAAGTTCGACGTCTACCTCAGTTAGTTCGCCTGAATGAGTTTGAGTCGTCCAACACGTTCTGTCCGTCTGCTTCTGACGGATAGAACGTCCGAAGATCGTCTCCGGGACAAACGCCGATCTTCACATGCGAAATTTGTTTGACTATCTATATAAAATCGTTCTGGAGAACATGTTTTACTGATCTGATTCAGTTGATTGGTTCAACGCGTCCTAAGTTCGACGTCTGACCAACAGACGATCTTAACCAAATCTAGGTCGACCCAAATTAGAGTTTGGTTCGTCTCATGAAAATTTCGACGTTTGGCCTAGGCCTAAACCATTCCACCCTAACCATCCCAGAAATCACTGCGCCGAAAGCCTCTTCCCACTCTCCCTATGATTTATGGAGCACCGAATGTCATGAATGTCTTGACACCGTCAGGGTACTCAGAATTCTCTTTCGTTCGTTTTCTATTGGTGTTGTTGCCTTTAAAAATTGGGCATAAACAGTTACGTCGATTCATTTACTTGTGCAACAGTTGATTAAAAAACCTCTCCAGTCAGCTGAGATGGTACTGTAAACTTTGAACAATCAGTGTCAATTTACAGTAATAGTATACAATGCTATTAGAAGTGTAGTTGCTTACTAAGGACGTCCGTGAAGAGGAATACTACTGCTCCCCTTTCCGTAGTAAACTGTTCATTATTTGATGTTTTTCCAGGTTATGTATATGATTGGACGTTGTTTAAGAAAGTAGCCATTGATGAGCTTCAGGTGTGTTCCGTTTAAGTCTTTTTTTTTCCACCTATGACATAAATCCAAAGAAGATAATTCTTATTTATAATTGACCTTTGCTACCAGAAAACTTGTACCGAACAAATTAACAGTTTTTCTTCGCGACAGGAAATATTCCTTGAATGTAGTTGCGCAAAGCTTTGATAGCGTTCAGGACTTTGAATCCGAAAACGGCCTCTCGGTCACTTCTAGGTGTAGTGTACAGAGGGAGTATCCAGCCTTCCAGCCTTTTGAGTAACCCTTCTTAATAGATTGATAACGGATTCCTGTCTTTATGATTTATAGGCCTATGGTTATGCTACCCCTATAAACGCAAATGAAACTCAACCTTCATTCATTGTACGCCGCCGAAAATGTTGTCCAACAGACCCTTCCACGATTTTTTTGTTTTGTTTAGTTTCAACTTTTACCATGAACAAAATGGAAAATCCGTCGACACCACTAGAAAGAGCGTCGTAAAATTAGTAAAATTGCCAAATTTGAAACTGATACGTCTTAAGCGAGCGAAAATATAGCTCCGGAAAGTTGCGAACATTTACAGACGTTTGAATGGTGGGGGGCACCACCACCTCCACCACTACCATAAAAAAGTGTTCAAAATTTCGCGTTTTTGAGGAGCTATTTCGTCGTTAGTTTTCAACAAATCACTTTCGAACTTTGCAATTTCACTAATTTTGAGGCTCTGTTTCCAGTGGTATCGACGGATTTTCCCTAATTTGTCCACGTCAAAAGTTGAAAAAAAAAAACTGTGGAAAGTTCTCTTTCCTTATGTAGCCACTTACTTGACTTTCACTCGACAGGGTAATGTGATCAACTCTCTCACCCTTCATCCCAATGGACGTAAACTGTTGGTTCACGTACGTAACAGCGTGCTCTGCATGCTGGACTTGAGAAGCTACACCGTCATGCAACGCTATCTTGGTGCTTCCAACTTCAAAGAGCACATCCGCAGCACTCTCACCGCATGCGGCTGCTTTGTTATCGCGGGCTCGGAGGATGGTTATGCGTACGTGTGGAATACGGAAACAGGTCAGTGGAATAGTGCAGTTTCGTGTTCGCTATGACCGCTGAATAAAAGAAGTGAAGACGCTCTTTTAACAGGCTTAGCCTTTAGCGAGATGACTTGTTTATCACTCTGTCTATTGGGTATTTTAACAAATACTTTTTGTCGAGGGTAAGTCTGTAGGAGTGTGTCGCTAACGATTTAATTCAGCGGTGCTTTTTAATTCGAAAAATGAAAATCCCACTTGCAAACACGTACCGCATCTACCATTCAAATAAAATTTAGTGGTTTTATTTGAGAGTTTCGTAAAACCAAAGTACAGTTGAACCTCTGCACAAAGGCCACTTAGGGGACAGAAGAAAGAGACCGCTGCAATGAATTGGCCGTTGTAGAGAGGTTTTAAACAAGAGTCAATGTATGGACTGTCCACTGGGACAAAAGGAAGTGGCAGTTGTGGAGAGGTGGCCGTCATTAGAGGTTCCACTTTAGTCAATAGAGAGATTAAGATTCACGTTTACGCCAAACGACAAACGTCTGATTCAAGTTGAGAATTTCTCAGAATAGAAAATAAGCAGATCAAAACTGTCCAGAACAATTTTAATGTATAAAACAGGTGTGAAACTACTTATTTGTTAGTTGAAGTAATAAACAGTTAACGAAAATTAAGGGAAAAACTTGGTCACGTGGTACAAATTCACGTTTGCCGTTTTGCGTAAACGTGAATCTTAATCTCTCTAATATTCTTAGTGTATGGTCAAAGAAATCATTCTGAGGCTCAGCAATGAATAATACATTTTTCTTTCGTTTTATTCCCCCAAGCCTCGGAGCCAAGTATGAATTTCAATATATCGAACATGATCTATTGTGACTTTACGTGCTATTTCAGGTGATCTAGTGTCTGTGTATACCTCACTCGGATATCATCACGCGGTTTCCGATGTACAGTTTCACCCGTTGGATCACATCATAGCTTTTTGTTCCTTTGGCGATTCACACCCTGTTCTTGTTTATCATTACGATCCTAAAGGTAAATATTGTATTTTGGTTGTCGCTTGCGTGAGGTGACTGAGAACAGCTGAGAACAGGGGGGTGGAGTAGGAAGGCCGATTAATAAGAAGGAGAGACAGATAGGAAACTACGGGTTTGAGGGGAGGGGGAATAACGAAGGAGTTACCTTGAAAAGGTAGTAGTGGCAAACATTCACATTTAACCCATTCGCCCCTGAACCGCCCGTAACCGCCCGTGCGGATCCACGTCCTTTCTACCCTTTGTGACGTCATCAGTTTTAACGGTCAAGGACAACTTTGTCCGCTAACTTGTGCAGAGTGAAGAGATCTTTCAAACCATACCAGAATGAGCACAATTCAGTCAAGGACATCGGAGAAAGAGGCAAAAAACCATGTAACATTGACCTGTAAATCTTCAGGAAAATCTTGTTCCGTTGCCCACCTACCTTTCCTTTCACCTAATCCTAAGATCCTAAAAGCTTTCCTAAAAACTATTCCCACCAAAATGAAGCCTACTAAATGCCCAGCAAGAGAAAAAAAAAATGAGGCAAGAAAAGCGAAAAAAGAGGGGAGGAGAGAAAGCGAAAAGTAAAAGTCAAGACTGCTGTGTCACTTTTAAACCCAAAAACTAAATTCTGCTTTCTGCGCATGCCCGAACTTCGCAAGCTGATATTTTGCAACTGGATCAGAAGGCCATGAAGTGTGCGACCTGTAAACCGGTTTATGGTAAGTTTTAGCTCTTAATAGCGCGACAGTGACCAGAAAACCACTCGACTAGCTTCAAAACGCGTTTTTCGGCAAAATCTCCAGGAGCGAATGGGTTAAATACATATACACTACCGAGGGAAACCATAAATACTGTATCTCGTAATTATTAAGATGTTCGGGGATCAAAAAACGTTTTCTGCGGGTTCTCCCATTGCTTAACAAAAACATCACTATTACTGAATTTACAACCAAAGGCAGTCGTAACGTACCTGTTATCCTCTGAGATTTTTCAGTTTTGCACGCTCAGCGACTTTGGAAGCAGTTTCATTGTAATATGGGTCATGTGACCTTAATAAGCAAGTCCGAGCGCGGCTATGAAAGAAGGGGTAATGTAATGTTGTGCAGCATAATGTGTTTTTTCTGTTATTGTTATTGTTATTGTTATTGTTATTGTTGGTTTTGTGGTTAATGTTTTCTGCAAACCCGTCAGGAAAAACCCTCTTCGAGATCATGTAAATTTTTCTTCACCTTAATCATTCTTGATAACGCCTAAGTTTATTAATTTCCATTTCCAGCTGCTAAAGAAGAAGCTAAAAAATTCATGACTCCTCCAGCGACGCCATCTAAACAAGCTACTACGTCACAGCAGAGCACAGCTACTCCAGATGACGTCACCAGACACGTGCAAATGGCTGACGTGGCCGGTGACGTTCTACGCGTGCGCAAAGTCAAGCAGAAACTTGACTCAGTGTTGGTAAGTTTGAAGGTTCCGTTTTTACTTATACATACAGTTAATATGGACACTAAGGGAACATACCATAGCGCTTCCTTTTATCCAGGTCTCCGTATTAAGTGGGTTCTTAGAAAACAACGTCGCGGACACATTTTTTATCCATGCAAAGATACAAAGGAGCAGTGACTGAAGCAAAAAGCTAAGGAAGTGAAACTTGTGGGTATGATAGGAGGTAGAACAGTGTGAGGGCAAACACCGGACTAATCAAAATCAAACATATCATGCTATTTTGCTACTGTTTTTGAGTAATGAAATCGTATTAACGCTAAGAAATCGGTCATTAGTTGAACAGGGTACAATGCTATAATTATCACACAATGACAAATATTATGAAAGTGCGTAGATACCCTGTGTCCGTAAAGCAAGGTTGACGATGTACGAGAGTTTGTGACTCGGGATACAGAAAAGTTTTCATTGTCCGTATTAACCCGTGTCCGTATCAAGCAGGTTAATTTTACAGAAAAGATATGAGCTTTTCGTTTAGACAAACGAAACTGTCCGTTGTATTCGGGTGTCAATAGGGCGGGGTTTATAAACAAATGGACATGCACATGTCATGTTTAAGAGAGAGAGGCCTTTGTTTATTTGTATCAGGGAGGTAGCCCTTTCAGAAAAACTGCTATCGGTTGCGGCCCTTTCTGTTCCTGTTGCTTTTAATTCCTCTAACAAAAACACTGGCTCATATGAATTTAGTTCTTAAACTCAACTCATCACCGTAAAAAGATTGAAATCTTGCTTTTCGAGCGCTAACTCTTCGTCAGAGGGAAGTTTGACCGTTTCCACTGAAGCAGCATCACATTCTCTTTTGAAACCGACCCCTTTCCTAACTCGTCGAGATACATCCAGACGTCTTTCTTCTTTATTTTTCAATAATACAGGCTTTGACAATGTTTTACTTCCCGGCTGGTCTCAAGGGTGTGACAACGCGTCATATTTGCACATGTATTGTTATTCGTACGTTAATATGTCGTTTAACAATGTATCTCCAGGAAACACCAATATCACCAAACTACATGGATACGGCAATGATGAGAACCCCAGGGACCGAGAGCCGGATGTTCCAGACCCCAGGGAGACCCGATAGTGCTGCATACCCAGGTTCCATGCAGACCACAAAGAGGCCTGGTAGCGTTACTTTCCAGTTTCCAGAAAGCACCGGCAGAACATTCCACCAGGGCATGGGCACTAACGTGAGCCTTTCAACCTGGGGTTCAGACTTCTCTCCGACAGGGTATACCCCGTACAGTGCAACAGCACATGGCCCCACGCCAGCACAGGTTAGTAGCGGAAGATGGTCGATTCGTGGAAATTGTTCTTGGCGTAACTAGGCTTATCGGTGTAGAACTTAAGAAAAGATTGTTTGATGAACAGCAAAAATAAAGCTTTCATGTAAACAAGTCGAAAGAGACGAGCATTCTCTCTCTCAGACAAAACAGACTTACCCTTAAAAACCTTTAATTTTTTTTTTTTAACTTGCGATCCATTTTCATCCTGGTTATCAACAGCCAAAGACACACACTCTTACATAAAAGACCGATTAGTAGAGAAAGTTGCTGTTCTCTCAGGGAAAGTAGCCGGTCATTGATCTCCCAAATCCTCCTATATTTGTTATGTTTGACTCATTTTCAAACTTAGAGTAGCCGGTTGATTTTACTGCGTGGCGGCTTATTAAGCCGGCTGCTGACTACTAATGACAGCCCTGGGATTTCTGCTGTGATTCCCAGGGGCGTAGCCAGGATTTTTCAAGGGGGGGCTCACAGAGGCTTTATACCGCTGCTCTCCCTCGTGTATTAGCGGGCTCAGTCGTATTATCGTGGCATGGAGGCCCATATTAACTAAAGACAAGAGCCGTTGACGAAAATACTTTACCAAAAAAACAAATTTTAAAAAAGTGGGCTTTTCAACAGTGGCTTTTACAGCCAAGATATTGTCATGGCGTTTTCGCCACCTGAATATTATAGGTTGTTTGCTCAAAAAAAGGCCCAGCAAGGGGGGGTCACAGGCACCCCAGGACCCCCCTCCTAGCTACGCCCCTGATTCCAATGTGCTTTTACGGTTTAGAGCAATACCAACTTAGCTGTCGAAGTTGAATTGCTCTTTTTTTTCTTGTGAATTTTAGCTTGCCTATGATCCTCCTCTGTCTCCTCATGCGCAGCAGCACCTGGGGGCGTCTGGTCGTTTTGAGTCGTTGAAGCTGTTTTCTCAGAACAGAAGATATGGCAGTCCTCAGCAGCCAGACTTGAATGGACCGCTGCCTTACCCAACACCTGGTAAGAGGCTGATTATGATTTTAATGTCTTTAGTGAGGATGAACTTGCTTCAAAGAGCATGAAAGAATTGCTCAGTTTTTAGAGACAATAAGTACGACCCAAAAGTAATGAAAGGTAATATTCACTTTTAGGGGGTAAAATTCCGTCAGGTACAAAAATTTGTTTAAAGTTAAAACTCTAAATTACATTTTTGCTATTCGCAATTATAACATTGGAATTGTTTAATTATATTAAAAACCTGTTTTTTATGAATGTCGTGCCATAATAATTTTTAAATGTCCTGAAATTACTCAGAGATTCTGCTTGCCTTAAAGTTTGAGAAAGACTTTTCCAAAGAGCTGTACCACTATAGCGAACACTACCACGAAGGTAGTTTGTGCCTGGCTGTGTAATAGTCAGTTTATTTATCGAATCTCGAAAAGTGTATGGAGTAGTAGGTCTTAAAACTGACTGATTCTACTAGTCCAAACGTCCAGGCTGCGGTGACTTCAAAGGCTTAAAGCAATTTAGGAGGAGCTCCCTTTTCTTCTCCTCGAGGTGGTTTTGTTCACAGGGTGTCCCCATCCCTTTTCCATGTTGTTTAAGTCATTAAAAAGTGAAATCAAATTCCAACATTGAACAGGGCAATGGGGTATTTCAAGGATTGTAGCTGGCGAGCGGCCCAGTGTTTGATCCTATAAATCCCTACTGAGACAGCTTACCGGCATAAGCGTGTGACAGGAGAAAACTTGTATCTTATCTTAACTCAATACAAAGTTAATGTCACTTACGCGTTATTTGGTAGCATTTTATCGTAAAAATGTGCAAGTTTCTTTTTCTGTGGCCTCTTATGTGTCCCCGACTGCCTTCTGAGGAATTGAAAACTTCAGCTGCATGTAACTTTTTCCTTTTTTTTCCTAGTTGGAATGTCGTGGATGAAGAGACCTTCGTTGAGTCTTAACGTGGGCGAAACTCCAGGACCCTTGGTTTGTTTCTTGTTTTGTTGTTTCGCTGCTATTCCGTTCAATAAGTTCTTACATATGATTTATGATTAAAATTCATTATTTCATCGTCCAGTCATCCTTTCAATGGTTTATAACCAACCAACTCAACGACCTGCTCCCAATTTGCTTGATAGCTTAATTATATAGCACTGAAAAGTCAAAGGTATATCGCAGAGGTCAAAGGTTAGAATCCCTTACAAGCCTGATCTTTTCAGGCCTTCTTTTCGTAACTGAAAAAATTGCGTCTGTAATTGCGATGATCTTCTTTTATTTAGGGTGCAACTTGTTAAACAAAAACACCAGTCGCTCGCCGTTTCTTGAGCAAATGGCAGACGTTTAAACGTGTCATTAGCTTTGGTAAGATGGGGCTGTGCTTTCAATCGCCAAGTGAGAGCTCCGCTACGATCGGACAACGTGTTTGCAACTTGCGGAACAAGTGTACTCAAACTACTCGATGAGGTTTAACTAAATGGTTGATGTTGTTTGTTTTGCAGAGTGTGTCGCAGCTTAACGCTGCTAAACCAAAATTCACATTCACGGATTCTCCGGCGAGTCATCTCCTGCAGCAAACTCCACAACCAAGGAAAAAGGTACAGAACTACAGCTGTCGCAAAATTGATATTCACTAGTTTTCCACTGAGTGTTACAAAGGGTGATTTTTTAAACTGTCTCTTAAGGTTATGATGCAAAGATGAAGAGAACACTCTTCGATAGACTAAAATAATTATGGCCAGTAGCCACAGCGGGGCTCTACCTTGCCGCTTCTTAGTATTCTGAAATATTTAACACTGACAACCTATATTTTGTTTAGTTTAGTGGTTTAAACAGGCCATTTTCACGATGGCATCGTTTCACTACTACTACCAGAATCCTTCAGGTTTTTGCTTTCCTGTGCAAATGAGGGATTTTGTTATTTAAACCTCGTTGGGATTACCAAATTTAACTTTGAAAGAAAACACGAAATGAATTCTGGTCTTAGTAGTGAAAAGACGTCATCATGCAGATTGTCTAGGATCAGTGTAGTCCCTAACCTTCAACCGCATTGTATCAGCTGAACTGTACGGCCAGATGCTTTACAACTCCAATCAACATATTTCACAGCCTTTCACAGTCTTCGATATGTTTAAAAAACTGTTTGTCTTGGGAAGCTGGTAAGGAGTATTAGAGTGACAGCTATAACCCAGGTAAACAACGTGTATTTGTTCTTTACCTTTTTCCATATAACAGGTTATAGCTATGTATCCATATGACGCCAACAGAGCGGACGAGCTCACCATTCAACCTGGTGACGTCATCAGCGTGCTTTACATCGATAATGAAAACTGGTGGATGGGCGAATTGGCTGACGGGAGACAGGGTTATTTTCCATCAAATTATGTGATGGAACAAGGTGAGTCGTGCATGTGTTGCTGCCATGTAGCCAATCACAGAAAATACAAGTAACGCAAGGAACCAATCAAAACTGACCCAAAAAAAGGAAAACTTTGTGAAATGCGGGAAAAGGCGTAACCTTTCTTTTCCTGGAACCGGTTTCTTGGTCAGAAACCGACGATCCGCTTTTACGCGCGGGAAAATAACGTTCAATTCCAGTTGAGAGTAACCAAACAGTCGATGTGGCGTCATGTATATTGCTGTTTATTTCTGACGCTGTATTCCTGTCTTTTGCAGAAGATTTAGAGTCTGAAAGTGATTTAAAGGAAACAACTGTACCGAGTACCATGAGCGATACAAAACGGGAACCAAAAGCCAACACTCAGGTCAGGATAAATCATAGGCAATAGGCCATTTCAGAGTTGCTCTAAGCCTCTGTTTTAAGGCGAGGCTAAGTGCGAAATGATTTTTTTTCTCCTGAAAATGAAATTTTTGTCACAAGAAAGGTTTTGCACTTAGCCTCGTTTTGAAAGTGAGAGTTTTTGGAACTCGGAAATGGTCTATTATAATGATTGGTGGGGGAAGGAGTGGAAAATTAACTGACAGTAGAACCTCGATGTAACGAATGTAAAAAAATCGTTCGTTGTACCGAGAACGTCTTCATATAAAGGCTCTGTAGATCGAGGTTCCTCTGTATATTATTTAATTTTTATTTTATATCTTTTCTCTTCGCAGATGACGGCGGTAATTAGCAAG